GAACCCTGTGGCATGGTGGTCTGTGTGGTGTCTCGTCTCCTGCACACTCACTGCATGGAAAGACAAATGGACCTCGATATGTTCTTCCATGCGTCTTCCATGTGGCCAGCGTGTGTGTGTGTGTCCACATAATCTAATAGAAGTCAGGGGTACACAATGGTCTGTGATAGAGTAGGATTCAACAAAGTCCATCCCCTCTGCCTTCATTTTCTGCAGTTTTTTTTACCCACAATGCAGCCAGCCAGCAGAGCAGCCAGCCTGCTAATGTCGTTAGCTTCCCCCTAATGATGGTGAAATCTCATTAATATGCTTCACAGCTGGGCCCAGTAACCAGTGGGGATGAAGGTAATCAAATCTCAGAGGACTAACCTAAGGCTGAACCTCGAGAAATGCTCGACAGCACTGGTCCGAGACAAACCAGAGTCTGGAGGCTTGATAATAGCCAGTGGGCTTGTGTATGTGCGTGTGTATGTGCGTGTGTGTGTGTGTGTGTCTTGCTCTGTGGTCTCGATGCCTTTGAAGTGCTGATGTTAGCCAGGCCATCTTATGTCAGTATCAGAGCTCCAGCCAGTACATCATCAGAATAGATTTCATTTCAGTCCATCATATTTTGTCTGTTTAAGTCTCGGCATGCAGTAACGGAGTGAAGTGTCTGCGAGGGGGCGGGGCTTCTCTCTTAGTGCACTTGTGTCTCATGATGTATGCAAAGTGAATCTGAAGAGCGGCATTACAGACCACTCACACTTGAACTTAATTAAATCACCGGTGCTTTGGCTCGTAGTTGGAGAAACACCATGCTACATTAAGCTATTAAGATATGTGAGGCCTGCAGACACGCACGCTGCACGCACACAGAGGGGTTTGTAACAAGTTGTCTGTGGATGTTGAAATAAAGGTCTGCACGTTTGAGCAAGAAGCTTTGACACATCATGCATATAAAATAAATGATGTGAGAGCAAATCATGATGATAAAACTCCAAATTAGAACACATCGTTCTTAAAGTGATGATTTTTTTAGCTGGTTATTGAACAGACTGAATAGTAACCATGATGCCTTTATCAGATCTTCAGTGATAAAATTGAGTGTTTCTATATAGTTATTTTTAATGCCTTGTAGGTGTCAGACAAGGTGATTTACAGCATGCAGACTGGAAGAGAAAAGATACATGGTGGATCATGATGATACATTTAGACAGTTAGAAGAGAGCTGGATGATTTCTAGAAGTGACAGAATACATAAAAACATAATCAGCAAGAGATTAGACATAACATTTTGTCCACAGGTGTCAAAATGATTGAAACTTAATTCAAGTTCCTCATAGTAGCTTTAAATTCAGCCTGCTGTTAAATGGACTTTATCTGTTCAGTGCTTCAGTGTCAGGTTTGTTTTCTGCAGGTCACACCTGACAGCAGCACTTTTTATCCCCGTTTCTTGGACTGGTCCAACAACATGCTCGATTGTATTCTCCAATATGTCTTTGGTTAACAATAACAGCAGTGGCCATATGCTTTGTGTGGTTTGTGTTCCCCCCCCCTTTGCCGAAACACAATGGATACTTATCAGTTACTCTGTACTGTTTTCATTTAAACATTATTTTTGTGGCCGCTGGTTCCCGTGCCTGTATTCCAAAGCAAATCAGGCTGTTATTGTCTATTCATTCTAGCCCTCTCTTGGCTAAAGGAATGATATTCTAGCTGCAGCTCGAGTTTTAGTTACTGAGCCGACTTTGCGGGCTCAGGAGGGGCTCCGGCTCCGGCCTGGAAAACTTTGCCAGACACAGAAGTTTCCAGCGCTAACATGTTGCAAAGGATATCGAGGGAAAGCTCTCCAGGCGAGCATGAGTCAGTTCTTCCAGTGTTTGTGCGTAGGATTTCGTGGGTCACACAATAGGCGGGCTTGTGGTATGGTCGGTGTTGATCAGATGCAGGCTGGTGTTGAATAATGCCTGGGTGAGGGCTGTTGAAGAGCTAAGTAGATCTGTCCTCTCTGCCTTTCTGTCCACAGGCCTGCCATTGTTTTGCTCCATGCCTCGGCTTGACAAGGCTCCAGAAGCCAGCCATTGTATTTAATTACAGTCGCCAGCCCCCTCACAGACTCTGGTCCTTGTGTCCCAGATTTCCAATGGGTGCTCTCATTAAGACTGTGTGTATTTATGTGTGTGTGTGTCTGACCCACAAGGCTTTTTTAATGGCTTTAGGAAAACCCTTCGCCTGGGTAAATGTAAGCATGGGTAGTGTTTTTATGTGTATGTGTGCCCAAGTGGGTGGCACATCTGTTTGTCTATGCATTTCTAATGAAGTCAGCTGGATGAACAGCTCTGCGGCAACACTAATAACGCAGGCCTCTAATCACTCCACGTCAACAGAGGCAGAAGAGCGCAGAAAACCGTGAATGGTTTTGTGCTAATGAGAAAATATGCCATGTTACGTAAGGGCCGCTCTATTTAAGTTTAATTTGTTTGACAAGAGTGTGGTGACTGCAATGCCCAGTGGTGTGGGCAAAGATGGCCTTAATGACATCAATATGATCGCAATAAGAAACAAGAGGACAAATTCTCGTCCTTGCCTGCAGTGGTTGTTTCTGAAAAAGTTTCCTTACTTTTACCTTCAGAAACAGTAGAAACGTGTATTGTTTCTGCTGGAAAATTGTAAGATTCTTTTGATAATGAGCATCAAATTCTGTGCACTGTTTTCCCTTAAGAGAGTCTAGAATCTAAAACAGGAGGAAGGAACATGATTGAAGTAATACAGTCCCTCCTCTCTGTGTGCATACCACTTTTATCACTTCATCTGTTTTGTATTTTGTCTGTTTTTTGCTCACACACACCTCTGTCTCTCCTGCGTCTTCATGGCCTATGCTTACCCCCCTTCATCTTCACCCTACATAATTATTCCTTCTTTCTCATGATAGTCTTTTTGCAAAAGAAACCCTGGTTCAATAAACAACCCCCCCCCCCCCCAATACCCCCAAGGGAAATAGTACAAGTATTTCACCTTTTATTTTTAAGTTTCTTGCATCCTTAAACCCATATTGAGCCATTTAGTGAGCATCAACGGTGTCTGCTCTGCTGGTGTGAGGTTAGCAGCATATGACATCCAGGCAGCTCATAAATGGGGTGTCTTCATAACCCTGGAGTGATTGGGTGTCACTGTTTTGTGTTGCAATGTGAGCTTCATTGCTGTTCAGCTTAACTGTCCCCGTCACCTGAAACTCCCTTGGATTGGCTGTGAGATAACACACACGAAAGCTTTGGAGAAGCTAGATTTTTTTTGTGTATGCTGCTTGTGTTTGTTTTTTTATTTACCAGGACATGTGGAACATATCTGGGCTTCAGGTTGGTTTATTTTGGTTGTTCTGAATGTAATCTTCTTCTGCACCATCTGCTGTGTGGAGATTGGCAAACTGAGACCCGCACTCAGACTCTATAAAAGGATATGAAATGGTGAGAGAGAGAGAGAGAGAAAGTTGATCCTCGCTTTATATCACACAATGTGCAGTGTGATTGTGTCGTCACGTGGAGCATCTTCCCAGCTGTACTACGGGCCTGCTGAACCGTCCCACTCTGTTAAATATAGATGGCTTATTTACACTCCAGCACTGAGCTGCAGGCAGCTTCTGAGCTGTTTGATCCAACCTTTAGTAGAGGATGCTGGGAGAGCAACAGGGCTACAAAATGCAACTCATGCATGCAACAATTACCAGTATGGATATGTATAACAGCAGAAGAATTTAAACCAATGTTCATGTTAATCTTCAAATAGTTTCTGGATGTCAAGTCTCATGTTGTTGGCATGAGTATAAAAAAAACTTATGCAGCACACATGCTGGCTGAGAAAGCTAGCTCATTTGCAAACAAGGATTATTCACTTAGACCATCAGCCACTGGCCACAGGGTGCAGGTCTCTGCTGTGAAAGTGTGTTTTTGATTGTGTTGATTAAAGCCCCATGTTTTGTAACACACAGGATATTGAGGTCAAAGTCCAATACATATTGCACGAAGGCAACAGCAGGTTACTTCCTCAAAACCCGGGACTACTGTGTTTACCATGTAAGGCACATCAAAATATGGGCGCTTACAAAGCGCTCACAAGTTGTTTGGTTTGTCATATTAGTTCTTATTGGATGAGTGTTCCCAGCCCCTCTTTTGTTTACTAGTCTCATATTGAAGAAGACAGAATGAGGTGTGTGTGCTGGGTTGAAATAGGATAAACAAGTTACGCAGGAGCCTGTCCTGCAAGATCAGAAGCACAAAGAAATGATGCTTTACCTTGTTTTCAGTATATGTAGCTCTTTATTGGTACAGTGTGACCTTTATCCTTATATACTTTCAAGCATTCAGACTTAAAACAGCACAATTTAAATGCACAACTTCAGGCCGTATATCAGAGGAGAGAACCTTTCTTTGAACCCTGCAAGAGGAGCCGCTTTTGGCTGTTACACACACGCACACACGCACACACAACAGCAGCCGTAATGTAAGCAGTAAATAAGAACATTCTGCAGAGGCTGTTGTCTTTGCTGCTTTGTGTGTGTGTGTGTGTGTGTGTGTGTGTGTGTGTGTGTGTGTGTGTGTGTGTGTGTGTGTGTGTGTGTGTGTGTGTGTGTGTGTGTGTGTGTGTGTGTGTGTGTGTGTGTGTGTGTGTGTGTGTGTGTGTGTGTGTGTGTGTGTGTGTGTGTGTGTGTGTGTGTGAGACAAAGTGTTCTTTGAAGACATTTCTTTCCTCTGGTGGATCAAGTACAATACCACAGATGAAGAAGTAGTCCATGCACTTGCAGTGTTTTTATTTAACACATTAGAACAAGAATAAGTTTCCCTTCTGGTGATTTGTATCGGAGAGAGAGGAATCTGTCTGGAGTGAGTGTGAGTGTGTGTGTGAGTGTAATCCTGAGATGTTCTGTTTATCCCACTGATATCGATTAATGCTGCATGTCTGTCTGTGCTCCATCTGATAACGTTCCCTCTAACCCTCCTGTTGTTGCCCTCTTTCTCTCTCCACAGCGATAGAGACCCAGAGTACCAGCTCAGAGGAGATAGTGCCAAGCCCGCCCTCGCCTCCCCCGCCGCCCCGCGTCTACAAGCCCTGCTTTGTGTGCCAGGATAAGTCCTCGGGGTACCACTATGGTGTCAGCGCCTGTGAGGGCTGCAAGGTGAGACTCCTGGCCTTCCTCTGAAAATTGCCAAGCAAGCAAGATGTTCATCAATCCTCTAACCTTCATGTGATTCATGTTGGGGAAAAAAATGAGTACACTCATGCTTCCACAGCCTGAGATGAGATGATAAAAAAAATTATTCGGCCCGTCGTTTGGAGAATTTCACATCCGTTTGTGTTTTTCACTGTTTAATAGTGGAACATAACATTGGAAATGCGCCAAAATTGACTTCTTTTACTGGCTTTATTACTTTGTGCTTTATTCAAACAATAATTCGAGGGAGTGCTGTTGTACTGAATATAAGCACTCAAGGAAGCTTCTTTGTAAATTATTTAATTGTTTAGAGCTTATGATTATATATTGATCTTCATACTCAAAAGATATGGATGAGTTAGAATAGTCTCTTTCAACACTTAAAAACTGCAAACATATCTGCACCCATTGTAAAACAAGATAACGTATATGATTTACCTGACGGTTATCATCGTCAGGTGTACATTATGTGCAACTCAATCTTCTGCAGAGTGTTGTTGCTGCTCGTATCAGTTTTGCTGACGTGCCCACATTCAGCTGTCTGTTATCAATATCAGTCGAGTTACACAGGTGCTGAAGAGGCCACATAACCCCCATCTGCTCTGTTATCAGTAGATGGTTATGGAGCTCATGCATGCATACATGCTCTCATGTTAGAGTGAGCGCACAGTCTTCATTATCTGGCTCCCCCCAAGGCGAGGAGCTAAAGTTGTGTAAGCTCACAGGACGATAGAGATAAAGAGGAGGAGGGATCTGTGGAATCTCATGTAACATTACTGCCAGGTGAGATTCTAGTATCTCCATAAAATCTTCTTTTTCTTTTGGCAATCTTGAAGAACCCAAGTAGGGTTTCCTAAGTTGTAGTGTCTTAACCAAAACCAGAGAATTGAAATCAACATTGAATGGTTTTTCTCATAACAACATTTCTGTGTGTAGCAAGAGGAGAACAGGGAGTGGTTTGATGAATGCAGGCAGGGTGGTGCTGTTTGTGACAGGTGCCCGCTAGACCCTTTGAGTTATTGACTGTTCAGCCAATACTGTGTTTGTTTCCATATGTGCAGAGGGAAGGGGGTGGAGCAGAGAGGAAAAGAGCATGCTGAAAAGGGGGGAGGCAGTAGCAGTGAAAAACCAAAAAAAAAGGTATACAAGGGAGGCCAGGAGCTCAGGGGAATGTAGAAATCCAGACAAAATGGTACAAAGATGGCAGGGACTGCAGGGAGCAAGAGAGCAGCCTGAACTCTGAGAGGCATGAAAAAAAGCTCGAAAGAGAGAAGTGGGGATGGCTGGAGGGGCAGCAGATTAGGGGGACTGGGTACAGGGGCCACAGCTGAACTCACTGACACGACAAGAAAAGACGGTCAGTGCATCAGAGCACGAGGGGGGGAAGGGAAAAATGACTGAAGAATGCATTGGGAGGGGAGCACAGAGGAACTAGGAGTCTTAGACACATAAATAGGCAGATTGCTTGTGTGAGTTCTCCCAGAAAGCAATAAAGTATATACCAAAATATATATTTGTATGCAGTGTGCACCACAGTTTGATACAACTGACAAGGGTATCGGGCAATTTGGAAAACAGACAGTCAATGCCTTTTTCATGAGCATGTTAATGTTAAACAGACAGTTTAACGAGGCAGTTTTTTCTTACCACTGTAACTTTTGCTGCTTCGCTAAAGTGCTCATGATGGCTAGGCCGGGTCTTTGTAACATAGTAATAAGTAAGGTCTTTTTACCTGCTTTTTGTAACATAACAATAAGTAAGGTCTTTTACCTGCTTTTGTAACATACAATAAGTAAGGTCTTTTTACCTGCTCTTTTGTAATGTTAACAGACAAAGAGTAAGGTCTTTTACCTGCTTTTTGTAAAGTGTCTTGAGATAACACTTGTTATGAGTTGACGCTATAAAAATAAAATTGAATTGAATTGAAATAAAAAACATTACTCTTTAACAGAAATCCTCAGAGGGCTCCAATGAAACTGAACCTGCTTTACAGCTGGAAAAAAAATCACTGCTGAATTTGCTGCTGCAATGGTCCTGTGGATTAATAAAAAAAGAGTTGAAGTTTTTTAGATTGACAGGAAATGTTTTTAAGAAAACATAACTGCTTGGACAAAAAAGAGAGGTGGGAAGATATGAAAAGAAGCAGCTGTATGAAAGAGAGAGAATCGTGTGTGTGTGTGTGTGTGTGTGTGTGTGTGATAGATAAGTAAGAAATGGTGCGTAGTTCCCCTTGTTTACATAATATTGTGCAGTATGTAATGCACACTTAGATATAGTTTTTTTCCTTATAGTTTAACACGATATTAAATGTTTCGTCTATATTATAAGACTTAAGCCTGCAACAAAATGTTTCCCAATTAATTCCAAATGTTTGCTGCGATATGCTCCTACCTAAATACACATTTTCGTTATTATTATCTCAAGTTCATATTTTGTGCAAGTCCTAAATAAATGTCAAGGGTGTAAATCATGATAAATTATAGGATTTACAGATTATTTTATTTTATGCACAAGTAGTTAGTTTGATGCTAACCCCTTAGATTCTAGCCCTATGTGTGTCCATGTTTTTCTGTTTGCATGTTTGAAACCACAAAGGGTTTGCAGCTGCTCTGCAGCTCTTTTAAGCCCCCTACTACTTTATTGTGTCCATTTAATATGTCTCCCCATAGTCTAATAGTGTCTGATTAAATGGGGTAATAAGTTTATTAATAAGGCTAAATCTCAGCTCCCAGTGAGAGTGTGTCTGAGCGTGTGTGTCTGAGGTGTGTGTCTGAGTGTGTGTGTGTGTGTGAGTGTGTGTGTGTGTGTGTGTGTGTGTGTGTGTCTGAGTGTGTGTGTGTGTGTGTGTGTCTGAGTGTGTGTGTGTGTGTGTGTGTGTCTGTGTGTGTGTGTGTCTGAGTGTGTGTGTGTGTGTGTCTGAGTGTGTGTGTGTGTGTCTGTGTGTGTGTGTGTGTGTGTGTGTGTGTGTGTGTGTGTGTGTGTGTGTGTGTGTGTGTGTGTGTGTGTGTGTGTGTGTGTGTGTGTGTGCGTGTGCGTGCGTGCCTGCCTGTCTGTCTGACTGACTGACTGAGTGCGCGCGTGTGTGTGTGTCTGAGTGCGCGTGTGTGTGTGGATGTTTGGTAGTGTTAACCAATATAAAAATATGGGTCTCTTGTCTGTGGTTAGTGTCAGTGTGTGTGTGTCCCACTGTCTTAAGCAGAGGCAGCAGTTTTGTAGTTTAAGTGGTCACCTGCTTTTTTGCAAACAGAGTTTGGGGTTGATGAATAAGCAGTTTATTGTTGGCGTAGTGGTGTAGTTGAAATGAAAACAAAAAGACATGCCATACATTCAATGAAATACTGATCCCTAATTTGGAGGTTAAACGTAGAACATATGAAGCAAGTCCATCTTAAGTTTATCATTCCTGATTTTTTTTTATAGAAAATATATAAATAAAGCAATCTTATGTATAACATGCAAGTGTGTGCAATCTGTACTCTGTTCTTTAGGTACTACTGTGTGACAAAAACTCAATAAGTCATCTAGTTTTTAAAGATCCATCATAAAGAATGTTGATCAAGCAACAACAGTATCCGGGGTTCAACAGTCCCCATCATCATCTAGTCCCACGCTTATTCGTCGTCTGTCTTCCCGCTCAACAGCCGCAGTGCTAATTGAAAAATTCAGGATGCCTTCTCCATATCTCTGACTTCAGAGGAGATGACTTGGCAGAGCACTCTCAATAATTCAGCACTACAGTCATGTGAATGTATATGGTTGTCTCCTCTGAGACTGGGGTAAGTTGAGGGTTAGCAGCAGCAGCTTTACTGCAGCACGTTGAACTACAAAGGCGTTTCCTCGGGGCTGCAACGAAACGGAGGAAACAGGAGGGGGATGTTGAGATGTGCTACTTGGAGAAAGCTTGTTCGTTTGTTGTTTGAGTTCTTGCGCTCGCACAAACTCTCCGGCGTTGCACTTCTTTTCCCCTCCAGATATTAACACTTACACATTAAATATGCATGCCCGCCCCCTCATGTTTATGTTTTTGTCTTGGAGGCATGGCAGCGAGAGGCAGGCAATCTCTCTACCTTGTTTCCGCCAGACCAAAATTCCCCAACCGCTGATTCCTGCAAGAATGTCCCCCTTATTTTGCTGTGTTTCCAAATTGCCCTCTCACCAAGCATCCGTCCTAGCTAATGTTTTGGCTTTAGCAATAGCCGAATCGTAAGGGAGTCAGAGGCACACTCACAGACACAGTGGGTGGCTGGGAACGCACTTTTAATCCGGGCACAGTGTGAAAGTCACGTAAGAGAGGATCCCTGTGCTTCCCCGTGAACTTGCCAACCCCAGACTTCCCTCTGCTTCCCTCGCTCTAATTTCCTCACACACACATAAAAACAAGAACACACTGACAAGCTCACACAATGCATGATAACGCACACAAGTCGGACAAGTTGCATATTTAAGAGCTCATGACACATGCAGTCATTTGTGTGCTCTCGCTGTATGCTCCTCTCTCTCCCCCCCCCCCCTCGCCCTGCACCCGCCGCTCTGAACACTGCAGGGTGGCTGACAGGCCTGCTGAGGGCTCTTGTCGCCAGGCGGATTAAGTGGTGATACAAAAAGAGGCTTAAGGGCCGCAGGAAGCAATGACTCCTAAAAGAAGGAGGGAGCGAGAGGGGGGGGAAGGGAGCAGGAACAATTGACTGGCCCACGAGCTGGCAGCAACAGCCAATCAGGAGGTGCTGTGAGAGGGCACCTGAGCCTCATGAAGTGAGGACGGAGTGGGTCAATCCCCTAGTGACACTGGGGTCAGGGTCAGGGCAGCGGCAGATCAAAGAGGACATGATACAAGCACACACAAAGACCACAGACTTATCCCTCAGCATCAGCAGCTAGAATCAACATTAAACTGTAAGCCTTGTTCTCTACGCTTTGTTGTTTGTGCATGCCTCACTCTTCTGCTGGGAGGTAGCAGGTCCAACTTTCTTGGCCCATCCTGTCGCGAGAGATACCAATAAGTCTGGTTCTACTTGGGGTTTCTTCCTGTGAGAAGGAAGTTTCCTTTGCCACTGTTGCAAAGTGCTTTCAAAGAGTGTCGGTAGACTGACACTATCTACATTTTCATGGGATAACTTGTATCATTAGACGTTCTATAAATAATGACTAATTGATTGAATTTGTAGGTGTGTTCTAGAGTTAGTGAGCCTTACATTTGTAGACTAGCAGGACTTTGATTTGGCTCTACCTGCCATGTAGAAAGCCTTTCATGTGTTACCCTGCTGGTACTTAGCTCAAACACACATGCAAACTGCTTACACTTCCTCTTCTTACTTCATTGGAAGCCTGAATCACTTCCGCTCTGTGGCGGTGCATAGGAGATGTGAGAGGAGCCTGGTGATCTGGGGAAGGACAGACTGCGGGTTTAGGTCCACCGGCCATCTGTCGGCTAGCAGAGCTAATCCCTAAGCAAGGGATGGGGCTCCCTGGCAGCTACCCCGCCACACAACACTGAACCACTCCATGCTCCGCCCTGCCTCCTTCTCTCTAGATTGCCCCACCCTCCCTCCCAGGCTCCCAAAGCATAACCCATATCCCACTGAGCCCCATCAATACAGACATTGACCTGTATCACATTTGTTCGAGCCCTGCTTTCTGAGAACTCAGTCAGTTGTGGCTAATGTGCATTAACCTCTTTTTATCTTTTTGACACTCGAATGATGCTTTAGCAATAAGGCCACAGAGGTTAGCATTGATTTTATTGGGGATGTATGGTGTGTTAAGGAGAGTAAAAGTTGTGATGCATGCCTTTTTAACTGTTTCGATGTTGTAGGCTCTGTCTAAGATGCATTCAGAGGCCTCTTGCAATCGCAAAATCACAGAATATAGATAGAAATCAGAATCAGGGTTTATTGCCAAGTACATTTACACATACAAGGAATTTGACTTGGTGTATTGGTGCTAAACAATTAACAAGGAAATAAAGCAGAACTAGCAACAACTTAAATAATACAGTATAAGAAGCTATTACAATATATAAAATAGAATTTAAAAATGTTAAATATAAAAAATAAAAAACACAAAATGTAGGAGCTGTGCAGTGGAATATATCCACAATATTTGGGATGATTTTGACACACCATAGACATATCTAAGATCTGTTCTTTTTTGTGTATCATCATTCTAAAACATAAAAAGGCTCTTCTTAGACTTTCTCCTCAGTTTATGACCATATATTGTGAGTGTAATTGATGCTTTTATTACTGATTAAGTTCCCTGGATGTATGTTGCACCTATCAGGGCTTTTCTCTGTGTCTGTGTCTTGCTCTATGTGATCAAAACAAAGACTATATATATATGACATTTCATCTATATGACTGAAGAGGAGCTTGTTATTATCATGTCTTCTTACTAAAGCACATGAACTGAATGTTCAATGTGCTCTTGCATGTCCTTTGATCCATTAAGATTGAAAAGGGAAATAGAAGAAAACAATCATTTATATTTTTTTGGTTACACAATGCTCTCAGCCTATGATCTCTCTTTCATTCTCTATTAATACACACTTGGCCTGGATCTAGAATTGCTTTTTTCCTGGCTGTGTAAACTAGGCCACGGTTACACAGCACCCAGTAACCCTGTGCCTTTTGCCCCAAAAGCCTTCGGGCGTAAAAAACCTCACAACAGTCTCTTTTGCAACATGGCTCACATGGATTTGGTTGAGGAGGTGGGCAGCCTCATAAGGTAGTGACAGACTATTAGACTCAGTCCAGTTTATGCCACAGAATAAGCTCTTTAAGGAATTAACTGTTTGGTGGTCTGATACCTTTGAAGTGTAGCTGCTTCTGGCCACTCTGGATGGGCAGCCTCCTTAATTTGATCAAGCAAGTAACCTAGGAGATTTTTGTAGTTTAGAAAAGGAGGAATAGATAAATAATTGGAAGTAGAGATTATGGAGAAGATGACCAAAGCAAATGATAACAGCAGTAAAGGTGACTCACAAACAAAAGTTAACTAAATTAGCAAATTAGCATTTTCTGCTTTATTTCTTATGCAGCCCCATTTCCCTTATCCAAATCTGCCACCAATCACTCTTCCTCTCTCTTCATCACATTTTCTCTTATCTGTCACACAGGGCTTCTTTCGGAGAAGCATCCAGAAAAACATGGTGTACACCTGCCACCGGGAGAAGAACTGCATCATCAACAAAGTCACCCGCAACCGCTGCCAGTACTGTCGGCTGCAGAAGTGCCTGGAAGTCGGGATGTCCAAGGAGTGTGAGTATTACAAAAAAAAAAAGTGTTACCCAGAATGCTCTGCTCCCACGTGACTCCCAGGGCCAAGCGCAGATCTCATCATAGCCGTTAAATCCCAGAGGGGTTTAGTATGATTGTTACCACTGCAGGGAGTCTTAAGCTGCAGCTTTTGTTGACATTTGTTCGAATACTGACACTATAGCACACACACACACTCAGCTGTGTCTGTGATTGAAGTGCAAATGTTGAGCTTAATTTATTATGAATTTGATTTTGTCTTTCAAAAGGGAAATTAAAATCTGTTTTTTTTTTTTAAGTCTTCCTACATGTATGCCCTTTAGATGATTTTTTTGAGGTTTGCGTTCATGAGCGATAAAGGTTAGCCATGATGCAGGCTGGCAATAACAGTCAGGGTGTCGCCATGCTTGGCAGGCCCCTGTGATGAATATGTTCTCACCTGCCGAGAGTGAAAGAGCAGGCGTCTGCTCCCATCATCGCACCCCCGGGGTCTGTGTGAACACACACACTCACACACACATTCACGCAGGCAGCCAGACTTGATAGAGTAATTGGAAGAGGTGTGACCGCAGAGAGAGCTTACAGGCCAGTGGGGTTTTTACCTCAGCCCGATCACATGACACACTCTGTTACACTCACTCTCTATCAGTTTACACTCTGACAGAATGTGTGTGTGGGGCATTAATACTCATAAGTACACAAAAAAGAGGAAGTTGAGACACCTCACCTCCTCTCACAGCGCACACACACACCTGTTTAAGCTTGCATGAAGACAGCTCCGTCCCTCTCCGCCTCCTGTCTTCCCCGAGCTATTTACCTCATCTCTGTGCTACAGCGAGAGCAGGGAGCGCTCCCTGTGCTGCAGCACTGTGGCTTACAGTAAAAGAAGTTATCCTCTGAGCTCCTTACCTTTGAATGGGGCCATTAATCATGGTTAGAGGGATCACAGGCGTGCTCTTTCACACACAGACACACGGGCACAGACACACAGCGGGGGAATAGACTGGAGTTGGAGAGCCATCTAGTGGTGGAAAAGGTTAACTGCACAAGTTAAAGCAGCTCAAATTTGCCAAAGTGCAGTGATTGGAGGCTTGAAAAAATAATTCTAATACTTGGTGACCAAACTTCTCTGGGCTTGTTTTGGATAACTGTTCAGAAGTGATTTCTGGGTAGTGGTCACTTTGTGCAGAGCGTTCAGATTGCTCGCCCTGTGTCCTCAGCAGTGACTTTGGCTGGTGATGCTGGTCTGTGCTGGTGAGGGAGGACAGGCTGGCCATCTGGGGCCCACAGGGGGTCTCCGTGCCTCTCACGCACACAGACACAAGGGCACGCACATATAAATGCAAGCTTGTGCATAATTTCCAGCACACGCTCAAGTTATGCACATGCAAGGTGACAACCGCAAACTGGTATGAATGAATAAAAACTCTTTAACAGGAATACAGTCAGACAGCTCCACTTAAACACCATGCACACTCTGTCACAGAAACAACCACACATATACAGAAGGTAGACCCCCTGCTAGAGTCGGGGGGGACGTCTGGGTGACCTTGTGTCTGCCATCAGACAGCTCCAGACGACAGTGCCAGGCCTGCTGCCAGGTGGCGATGCCACGCAAGACGGCGTCACAAGGAGGGAGGGGGGGTGTTTGTAGCAAGTGAAAGGATACAAGGGAACGCCTGTAGGCAAAGAGCCACAGTAACATCAACCTGACAGGGTGTATTTAAACACAAAAAACAGAACTTGTGGCTGAAATTGAGGTTAACCTTAAGTTACTTATCGAGTAAGGAACATATTTGCAAGATTAAATTTGACTTAAGGAAGTATTGATTTTACGTCTGACCTAGTGCAGTGGTTCTCAACATGGGGGTATGGACCTGAATGGGGTCATGAGCCAACTCTACAAGGTCACAAGATGAATAACATGTTGAAAGAAACAAAATTTAGCAATTAAAAATAAAATGTATCTTATTTAAGAAAATGAGACCTAATTTTACCTTTACGTGTCCATGGAAATATTCAATTAAGATTTTGTTTAATAAAATTGAAATGCTAATTATCTTACTGAATGTTAAGCTGTACATTTCAAATAAAGTGTTGTATGCCATAACTTAAAGGAAGAACATCCAAACAGGTTGAAAAACCCTGGAACATTATGCAGAATGTTATATATATTTATTTGAGGCCATATTAAGAGGAAATTTAATCTACAGTAACTTCATTCTGACTCTGACAACTCTCCACTCCGGTCTTCTTTGTGCATCGTATACTGGTAGTTCAGTTACATTATCTTGGTAACTTAATGTATTTTGCTGAGTTCACTACTTCCCTCCTTTTGTCACCCCCTCCTCCCCTTTTTTAGCTGACGTCACACAAAGCTATCGCTCACATGCTTCTTGAGGAAGGTGTTATTCAGTGAAAAAAGTAATAAAAGTAAAATAAGATGAAGCAATGAATGATGGAGAACAGCGCAGGGGGAGGATAACATCAGGCACAAAGGCAGGAGAGGAGAGAAAGATGAAGGCTGTGAGAGGAAAGAGTATTGAATCCTGTGTGAGTGAGAATGACAACGTGGAGTTGAGAGAGAAGACAGTGGGGTGGAGGGATGCTCGAGGAGAGACAGAGAGAGAGAGAGAGAGGGGGAGAAAGTTTCATCACTGTCGTCGGTGGCTCTGCGCTGCGAGCGGCGGGAGCAGGGGGAACATTGACATTTTTATCTTTCCATTGAATTTAATCTGTGTGATGGACGAGCTGCCAGTGCTTTAATTTTCCTCACACGAATTATCCCTGTCTGCCCACCTCACTCTGTCTTGTACACACACACACACACACACACACACACACAGACTTACACAGCAAATACACACCCAAGCGCTAGCAGAAAATGTCTATTAACTGCACACTGCAGCTGAAATCCACTGTGAGGACAGATGATTGAGTGGTGTGTGTGTGTGTGTGTGTGTGTGTGTGTGTGTGTGTGTGTGTGTGTGTGTGTGTGTGTGTGTGTGTGTGTGTGTGTGTGTGTGTGTGTGTGTGTGTGTGTGTGTGTGTGTGTGTGTGTGTGTGTGTGTGTGTGTGTGTGTGTGTGTGTGTGTGTGTGTGTGTGTGTGAGAGAATGATGCTGTCGCTGTATTCTTTGCACGTTATGCACTGTCTCTTGTAAATCATTTTTATGTGATGAACACGTAACCGCAAACAATCCAGGATGCAAGTCCCCCCATTAGCATTCTGCTTCTCATAATGCATTTTGAAAGATGCATTGCTTGAAGTTAACATATGCACACACACACACACACACACACACACACACAAACACATGAAAATAATAAAAACAAGGCAGTATTTCTTTCATTTTCCCTCCTTCGCTACACCCCCACCCCCTCTCCCCCCACCCAGTTATTGCATGTGGCAATTCGCCATGACAGATCGCCAGTCTTGCCTAATAGTTCTTTAATGACTTCATTAAATTGTGTTGTGCAGCTTATGATTGTGCTGCCAATTTGTCAGCGTGGGTAATGTCCAGGCGCAAGGGATGCCCCACTTTTATTTGTGAATTAATTGGACATCGACTGTGCTGCGGTTCTCCGACCCCCCTCCCCATTGTGGCAGGCAGGACACAGATTCCCAATCAGACACACAAACAGGACGGCCAAAAATATGTGCAGCAGCTTAAAACAGTTTTATGTGGAGTGTTTACATAAGGTCATAATTAGCTCATAAAAGTCAAAGAAAGTGGGAAGCATTTTACTGTTCTGCTTGTTTTCACTGACATGGTTATATGATTTATAACTTACTGTCAATGGATAGTGTGTATTTTATTTTTTATCTTTAAAGCCAAACATGAATTTACAGCACAAGAAAAGTCATTATTAAAAAAGAATAATATTATATTAATGTCATATTTTTTTTTTTTGATTGCATATGTCATTATGTGCATGTTATGGTGACTCTCCATGTAATCCAGAAGGGTTAACTTGTCAAATGTTTTACTCTTATCATTTGCAGCTGTTCATTTCAAAGAGCATCCTTTTCATTGGGAGGGAAACACTAGACTTTCATTTGAACTAAGTTTCTTCTGATATTGATTCCAGTATGTGTTCAGACACTGATAGCAGTTTAAGTATGGGCCTGTGATGACACCTAAAATGCAGTATGGAGTATCGACTTCTTGCCCCAATGATCAGATACCAGCTGGCCTGAAAAATCAAACTTGTTTCAGGTCAGTTATTATGTGACAACAGACATAAAAGATGTGGTGCTAGCAGAGAGTTTGATTTAGGTATGAACTAGCAAAATGTCAACAGTGGTTTCTCCAGGATGAACATGTGTATCTTTCAATCCCTCTTGTATCTGAGGGGGAACTTACGTATCACCCGATACTCAAGTGCAGGTAGAGGAATCTGTTTCTGAGGGAAAAGGTGTTGGAAGATCTAATATTTAACCCAAAATGTTCTTTTTTGTATGTGAAAATATCTTGCAAATAAATAACAGAATATCTATTAGCTTGGTAGCATGGCTTTTTCTAAGGTTGGATTTAGTAAAGTTTTCTAGTAAACATACCTCTGGCTCTGTCTGAATGAAGACAAAACGTCTATTTACTGTTTCTCACTTCATGTCCTCGTGTGTTTAGCTGCCTACACCAGACAGCCATATGATTACGAATAAAATGCCAGCAAATCATACATCACTGTGCTCTTGCACAGCGGGGGCGTCTTCATTTCTTGTTGTGGAGAGCCGTGCTTAGCAATAACACGCTGCAGCATCAGACTTCCAGCCCCCTCCTTCCTCCTCCCCTCATGTTCTTCCAGGCAGGGAGGCCTGTCTGCGGGCTGATGGATGAGCAGCAGCACCGAGCGGTGCATCCCGCCCTGGCCCCAGGCCATGCCCCCTCTGTCACACACACTGATCTCCCATCAGCCCCTGTGCTCTCACCCTTAATGGTCAAGGTTAGGATTAAGACAGAGAAAATCTGATCTTGGGTCAGCGACTCCAGGTACCTGGAGGGGAGGTTGAGATTGAAGAAATGATAGAGATGAGTTAAGGAAAGTGGGATGATTTAAAGCATGAGAGATTGGATTCTGGAAAGGGAAAGATAGTGTGAAAGGAGAGGAAAGAGAAAGAGAGCGTTTTGTATAACCAACAGAGAGAGAGAGAGAATACTGGAAGGTTTTTTTTTCTGCTCCGGGCTCAGCAGCCGAGCCCTTTTAAAACCATTAGAGGCAGGATATTTGTCATATTATGTTATTAGATTAGCCGGGACCTCTAATGAAAGCTGTGGCAATTTGTCAGCCTTATGGATAGCTCCATCCACCACCACTATTTATCAACTGGCACCCCATCTCACCCAATCCACCCCATACTCAACACACACACACACACACACACACACACACACACACACACACACACACACACACACACACACACACACACACACACACACACACACACACAGCTAAACTGCACCCCCGTCTGGATAGGCCTGGAGAAATGGATGGAGTCTGTAATGGGATTCCAATGCTAAACATCCCGCCTAGTGTTTTTTGTCATTTGGGGTGAGCACACTATTCTGAGCCTGATCGCCCAGAGGGATACAGCGTTAGATTATTTCAAGGTCCCCCCACCCCCCCCCTTCTTGGACCGAGCTGTCTCACTACATTTATCTTAAAGCATGAGAGGAGAAGTGATGCTGCAGCTGCTGTTTGCTGCACATGGAGCATCCTCTCCTGCTGCTGCCTTGCCTTTGATCTTGATCTTAGTTTGCTTTGAGGTGGGGCGTATATGGAACATATGGAAAATTACAAAACTTTTTCTAGGAGTTTTTTCACAGATTAAATTGGCTGATGAAGGCCACATATGTTTGGTTTTCACTGCAGGTTCTTCCCTATAAAGTGATTGTATCATTAATCGATGATGTAATGGTTTCACATTAAAGCTGAAATGCGGTCTGTAGTGCTCTATTTAAAGTAATGCAAGCTCACACTTAAAGCCTGCCAGTAGCTGAAGTCTGTTACCTAATCCAAAAGTTTCAGTCACACAAACTAATCCTCTTTGCCTCTCCTCCCTGCAGCGGTGAGGAACGACCGGAACAAGAAGAAAAAGGATGAGAAGAAGCAGGAGTGCACGGAGAGCTACGTGCTGAGTGCCGACACAGAGCAGATGATCGACAGGGTTCGCAAGGCACACAAGGAAACTTTCCCGTCACTCTGCCAGCTGGGAAAATACACTACAGTAAGCAGCAAAAACAAACGCTTCGTTTGGTCAACTTTTACCTGCTGCACTCGTATCCAACTGAATCTTGATATATACTGCTCCTCTCCTTTCAGACTAATAGCTCAGAACGACGTGTTTCTCTGGACGTAGACCTGTGGGACAAGTTCAGTGAACTCTCCACCAAGTGCATCATAAAGACGGTGGAGTTTGCTAAGCAGCTGCCAGGTTTCACAACGCTCACCATCGCTGACCAGATCACCCTGCTCAAAGCCGCCTGTCTGGACATCTTGGTGAGAACAACCTCCATCAGCCCAGTCATTTTTTAAAGACTAAAGATGTGGCTCTACCAAATATTATCCAGGTTAAAACGTAATAACCCTTTTTTTGTCTTTGCTCTATCCAGATACTCCGGATCTGTACGCGCTACACACCGGAGCAGGACACCATGACTTTCTCAGATGGACTCACGCTAAACCGAACTCAGATGCACAACGCAGGCTTTGGCCCCCTCACAGATCTGGTTTTTGCCTTTGCCAACCAGCTCCTTCCTCTGGAGATGGATGATGCAGAGACGGGGCTACTCAGTGCCATCTGTTTGCTGTGTGGAGGTATGAAAAGAATGTCCCACTAAACATCTCCCTGAATGTGATGGTCTGAAAATGCCCCAAACTGTTCAATAAAATCATAGACTGGGTGAAACACAGTGTTAATCTTGTAAACGTAATGTTGACGAAGGTCTTTTTAAATTAGTCAACTATGAAGATGACGAGACCAAACTCCACTATTTGACGATTTGATGAATAATATTACTTCATCATCTAATTGACAAAAATGTGACGAAACAAAAACAAGGATTATCACTTACCCCCTCAGCTGTTCTAAAATCATTGTAAACCACAGCAGACTTCATCAAAGGTGTGTGTGTGTGGTGAGTGCAACAACCCTGGAGCTTCTGATAATCAAAATAAAAGCTTGCGTCTGATTTTGTTGACTAAAATATCTTCTATTTTCATCAACTAAAATTATGTGCAATTTTAGTCAGTGACTAATTTTCTAAATTAAATCAATAACAAATGACTAATATCTGACTAAATATAAAGGACATTTTTGTCAGGAGACTATGACTAAATTAGAAAATGGTGTGAAGATTAACACTGGTGAAATAGCACTAGAGTGACTCTGCTTTTATCTCTGTTTGAGCCCCATCTAGTGGCTAACTGTTATTATTGTCACATTGTTTCTGTACTCTGTGTCCACAGATCGTCAGGACTTGGAGCAAGCGGAGAAGGTGGACGTCCTGCAGGAGCCGCTTCTGGAGGCGCTGAAGATTTATGTAAGGAGGAGGAGACCCCACAAACCGCACATGTTCCCCAAGATGCTCATGAAGATCACTGATCTAAGAAGCATCAGTGCTAAAGGTCTGTTCCCCACACTACTGACTTTTAATTTTCCATTACAGATCGTGTTCTGATGACTTATATTGTCAGACAGTAATCAAAGCCTCTGTAAACTTTGATTTCAAATAACGTCGATCTTTTGACATTCTTTTCTGCAGGAGCTGAGCGTGTCATCACCCTGAAGATGGAGATCCCTGGCTCCATGCCGCCTCTTATCCAGGAGATGCTGGAGAACTCAGAAGGTCTGGAAAGCGGGGCAGCAGGTGGCCGGCCCAGCGGCGCCCCTCCAGGCAGCTGCAGCCCCAGTCTGTCACCGAGCTCTGCCCAAAGCAGTCCAGCCACACAATCGCCGTGATAACGGCCCCTCTTTTTATTTTTCCACACAATGCTCTCTGCCTCCTTCCTTGACGTTTCTACGGGGGGGGGGGTTGTGAAGGAGGCGAAGGAGGGGGGAGTTTGAACCTGAACCTTTAACCTTCTCCTCTCCTACGACACAAACCCCACCTCCTGATCTGCTTCTCCTCACTCTAGAGCTTTGTGCTGATGTGAGGGGAGGTGAGGCTGAGGCAGGATAGGGGGACCTGGATGCCACCAAGAGACCACACGGAAAACACTGCTGATGACTCCTCCTCCTCCTCATCCCCTCCCCTGCTCCTCCCTTCTTCTCCAACAGACTCAAGAGAGAGCGGGTGGAGCACTATAGGATGGATGTATGAACAAGGACAAATGCATACAGATTGACTTGACCAACACCAGACACTTTTTTTGTTGTTCTCTGAGGCAGACTGCAAGCTTGGGACTCGTCAAAAGACCCCCCCCCCCCTTCAAAGACTCTGGGTCTTTTCTCTTTTTCCAACTTCAAAAAAACAGATTTCGTACAGAAGATATATAAATATATATAGAAAGATAAGGAACTATTGTGATTGACATGTCCAGAGCGGAGCTACAGGTCGACATGAGGATATGTTTTCTGAGATTATTACTTGTTGTACTCCTTCACTGTTTCAATCTTTTCATACACATCGAGAGTATTGAGAGAGACGTTTCAGTTTTATCACATTTGTACATTATTCTAATGAACATAAAGCGAAAGATGTTTCTCTACACATGCAAACACATGCAGACAAAAACACACAGACACACAGACACACACACACACACAGACACACACACACACACGCACACACACACACACACACACACACACACACAAACGTGCACAGAAAACAAGTTGCAATGAATATCACCGACTATTCCAGGTTGGATTTGTTTTCCTTTTTTCTTTTTCTTTTTTTTTTGCTTCCAAGAGAATGGAAAAAAATGATTGTATGAACTTGGTTGTATAATATGGTCACAGGTCCTTTCAAGAAATCAAATTAATGAAGATTCATTATTAAGGTGTATTTTAAGTAGCCTTTGAGTTTGTGTATATAAGCTGTATTCATTTCTTTAAAACTATGAAGAGTTTTAGGCTTCACCTGATTTTTTTTTTTTTTAAGAATACCTTTTATGTGTTTTGTTTATAGGTTTGTGATGCAAGCAAAGACTTTTATGAGCACATTTTACTGAAGGAAGGTCTTTCATGTTTTGTGTCCTACTAAATACTGAACAGACCCTTAACCAATCACTGGCTGTTCAGGATGTGGCTTTCACAAACGATTTCAACCTTTCCCTCCCCTCCCCTGTCTTCACTTTTAAAAACCTGTTTTTTAAGAACAGTAGATAACAAAGTAGCACTCCAGTCGGGGCATAGCTTTTTTTTGGCAATGTAGCAGAAAGAGATGGTGGAAAATGGTTCAAGTGAGCAAACCAGCTTCAAAGAGTTAAAATGTGAAGAATGGTGTACACACACACACACTGTATTAAACACGAGAGTCTCTGTATTCTCTGAATGGATCGATAAACTACAGTGGATGAGAAAGGACTAGAATGTAGTGATCTCCCTCCGCTCCGTCAGACAACGAAGGTCTGTAACGTTTGTCAACCAAACCCTCACAAATCTCCCCCAGAAACCTGTGGTAAAAACAACTATGTGACTTTTTTGCCGAATACAGAGTAAACCTCACCCTGTGACTCACTTTTACGCCAAAACGCCTTCACCGCTAAAACACACACGTCATCCAAACCATCGTTACTGTACACACGCCAATGTCTCAGGAAGGAATCATTTTGTGTGCTTGGCCTGTTCTTTGTATTTGTTCTGTGCTGCACCTCCTACCCCTCCTTTCACAGATGCACACACACACACACACACACACACACATACACACACACTTCTGCTACTGAGCCCCTGAATTTTTTTCTTCAGTCACTTCATTTTGTTAAAACCTGGCAGACCAGGAATTGTGCAAGAGAGACCCCGACCCTGACCCCCTGCAGACGTAACGACATAGGATGCCAGTGTGGAGTCTCTCTAAGTCGTTCATGTGTTTGTTTTTATTTGTACGGTCAAAGCTGCTTTTCATCATTTACAGTAGGACTTCACCTGTCCAGAACAGCGCACAACGTTTTCCCTCCACGGCTAATCTGGAATAGCAACAGACACAGCGTCAGTTTGAGAAGTATGGAATATGTTGCAATTTTTGTCAAGATTATCAAGCGACTTTGGAAAAAAAGAAAACAACAAAAAAAGATAAAAAAATAAAACCAACATTTAATAATTATTAATTGTGTCTGTGTTGTTCATTTGTGTCATTATTTCCATTCTCTCCACAGGGATCTCTACCAAATCTACCTCATTTACAAATAAAGTGGCCTTACCTTACGTTAGGGATGTTCTCTGTTGACTTGCATGCATCATAAATGTGGAAAGAAGAAGTTGAGGGAGAATCAGAAGTCCTCTACTTCTTGTGGATTTAGATCATTTAAAAAATGATAGCTAACAGGGGATCACATAACACTGACTATTTTAATTACCGGTATGTTGCTTATTTACCATCAGCCACTATAAAATACTTAAGAATACTTAAGAATCCTGACAATGCAAAAGTTTACAAGGTAACTTTAATAAGGAAATTACATTTTCTTCCTCTTACAAGTTGAAATTATTTGCAGTGAAACACAGTTGTGCAAAAAACATTCCTCTCCAGTATTTTGCAGCTACCTTGTGTTGTTTGCACCAAGGTTAATTGGGGTTATGAGTAGACCTTGTATGAAGTATTGTATAACAGACACTTCAGAGTGAGTTAACTGTATGTTCAAACCATTTCCATTTGATGTCACTTGTTGCTGTTCAGGAAATTAATATCAGATTTAAAAATAAAGAAAATAATAATATAATGAAAATTACATCTATTTGAAAATCACATTATCCACAACAGGCAAGGTCAGACTGAAGAGATTTCTGTTTGAAGGTCAACTTTCAAATATAAAAGCCTGTGGTTTACACCAAGATCAGATAGTCACAGTTAAGTGGAGAAAATCTGTAGCCTACCTGAATTCAGGCCTATAATGTTTAGCTTCCAAACTAACACCCAACATCAATTATTTACCACCAACATTGTTGCGTCCTGGAAGGATATACTGTGTCTTTTAAATCTGAAATTGCCTCTGAAACAAGCTTCAAAAAATGTAAATTAAATTATCAGAGCTCAATCATTTGTTAATAATCATAATAAAATAGCATAAATGTGTGCCTGTAAGTAAAAAAATACATTGATTATGTCTCTTATACATTTAGGTGTTTCAGAAATCAAGAAATTAAACCAGATGGGCTAAAGGTAGCCTAATATTCATAATATTTACTGCAATAATCTTAATTGCTCTTTTGAAAAGTGTCTTTTACTAAAAGTATAATAATGGCAACTGAGTGATGTGATCCCTAGTACCCAATAACCCCAGGTGACAATCTACATGTAATGTAGTCGTGTTCTTTTTTGGAAAACCCTTTGATTCTGACTGATTATGTTTTTACGACGGAGGATTAGGGCATCGTTAATTTTTTTTTTTTTTGAGTAGTAAATTAATGGGCCCTAATCCTTATTTTTTTTTCATCATTAGAAATCTTAAAACGTGATAGCGCTGTCCTGACTCTGGAAACGCTTTCCGGTACGATGCCCCGCCCTCTTGTAGAGACTGTGACGTTGCAACCAATCAAAACCCTTCGCGCGGAATTTCAAACATTTTCAAATCAACTTCCCTTTACCGAAGTGAGATTGTTCCGCCCAATTTGTAAACAAAATAGTCCCTTTATGAAATGAAAGTGAAAAATGATTCGACAGACACAAATCAGTGCGTATATAGAAAGAAATACATGTATCGAAAACATATAGTGTATAAATACACATGCAAAATTACGTTTTTATCGTATATATTTATTTTAGGTTAGTTAGGTCTGTGCATTGCGGCGTAGTGATACGACGGCATCTCTGGGAGAAGCGAGAGGCGACAAGTTAGTGACGGCTGTTTAAACTAGCTTCCGTTAGCTGTTCGTCAGGGTACGTTGTGGTGTAAGGTAAGATGTCGAGTTTATTCTTAGTCTGATTAAATACTACAGTGAACCCCCTCTTCGCCACATCACGGTTGATGTTTATGGATTACCAGAAGTTGACTTTTCTCTAAACGGATTTACAGGTAATGCAAACGTTACGACGCTTACAAATGATGTTCAGTTTGTGGTTCAGTTTTGTCCTCACATGTTAAAACTAGACTGTGAAAACATATTTAACATGCTACGACGAAAAACCTATCTTGTGTCGTTTTTTATCGAAGCAGAGCTGTTAAAGTGGTTTAAACTAGTGTTTGCTAACAGTATATAGTTACTATCGTGTTGACACTACACGTGGTGTACACAGACGACGACCTCCTCATATAAACTGTAACGATTATTTCACGGTAACTTGAACGTTACCCAATGTGAATCTATCTGTTAGTTTTGGAACATAAACTTTCCACAAGCTAACATCATTTAACTAAAAGTTTAAATGAAGGTCATGTGGCTGAGCTTAGAAACTAACTGCTTTTCTAACATGTATTGATTATTTCTAAATTATTATTATTATTATTTTTACCGTTGGTCAATCCTTCATTGATTTAACATCTTTGACCTAAGTTTGCCCCTTGTTGTTAAATGTCTGTTTTTGATAACTCTGCACAATCTTCTTTTTAAACATTGCTGTACATATATAAACAACACAACTTCAGAAGGTCAACACTTTTTTTATTTTTTATATTCAGGGCTAATTACAGATTTTTGATAATTTGTAACAAATGTTTCATGTCATGTACGTTTTGTAACCTGCTACTGGATGCTTTGATTTTCCCTCTGGATCAATAAAGTATCTATCTATCTTTGTCAAGTTTTGACACCTTTTTTTTTTTGCTTATGTTTCAGGTAACGTTACGAAAATGCCATTACATGGGAAAATAGTCGTGATAAAGAGGAGTGGAGGAGATGGGACCGAGTTCCCTCTAACTGCAACATGCTTATTTGGAAGGTGTGAGCATTAAAATGTTGTTATTCTTTTGGACCATCATTTATTGTTATGTCACTTTATATGAAATTACTTCATCCCCCAATAAATAATTAGTTATTCTGTGTTTACCGCAGTAAACACAAGAACATGTTTTAAAAAGGGTTTACTATGTCTAGGTACATTTTTCTTAAAGCTACCCATGTTGGATTTGAGGCGGACCTTGTCCTGCTGACGTCACAGTCCAAAGTGCATGTCTGCTCCTGTACTTGCATCAAGCACTTTTTTACTGTATATTCAAACCTCTAATTCACAAGTTCACTTTTCTTGTTCACCATCAAATGTTAAACCCAATGCTAATAAACATGTTTCATTTGCATGTTAACCTTGTGATCAGCATGTCTTTATATTGACACGTTTGTTTCTTTGTAATCTCACAGGAAGCCTGACTGTGACATTCGTATTCAGCTTCCTCAAGTCTCCAAGGAGCATTGCAGGATTGACTTGAATGAAAATAAAGAGGTAACATACCTGTGATCTTCCAAGGATAAATGTAGAAAATAACTGTCTTCATACTGGTTTATACATTTATTTAAATACTTTTTTGCATCTTAGTTTTTTAGATGCAAAAATCCCACTACTAATGTCATTGTTGAAAATCACAACTTGGATGAATGTAGATGCCTAGCTGATGCTCACATTCTGTATTGAGCTACTCATTTTCAGTTTTTTGAGGTTAACCTCTTTTTGTCTTTCACAGATAATTTTGACTAATCTGAGCTCAGTGAATCCAACTCGTGTCAACGGGGAGGCTTTGCAGCAATCAGAGCGTTTGAAACATGGAGATGTCATAACTATAATTGACCGTTCTTTCAGGTGAGAATGAAGAGAAATATTTCATCAGAATCTCCAGTTGTTGTTTTGTTGTACCAGCAATTGATCTTAAATACCATTAGGACGACTCTGAAGAGCAATATCACTTTAATTATTTTTCTTAGTATCGACCAACATGATGCAAGGTTCAAATGTGTAGTGCAGTGTAATACTCTCTGCTCGATTATTCAGTTACTCACTAAAAATATGAATCTCCTGTTGCCTGTTGTATCTGAACAGATCATCTACAAATACAAAGTACAGACAGGATGTGTTTAAATTAGTGACTAGTGGATACAGTCAACTTGAAATTGCAAAATCTCATCATGCATGCTACCATTACATGGGACAGATGTAACGTATGTCTTTTGTCACTTCAGGTTTGAGTACCCTCCAGCACCCACACCAAAGAAGAGGTCCTCTGTAGGGGGCAAAACTGACACCTTAAAAGTAAATTACGAATTTATCTTTTAATTGTCGGAATCTGTAGTCTACCAAACATCTTGTGTTTGCTTACACTCCTGCTGAATTTCAGTGTTGCATAAATGTGCTGATTGAAGTGTCCTTTGCTCAGGTTCTTCAAGATCAGCAAGTGGGAGACTCTGTCCCCTCTGAAACAGGAGAGAAGAGGATCTCTCAAGTGTCCACAGGTGAGACCATGTGATGTCGATATTCCTAACTGTTTGTCTCTGAAAACGATGCAGCCAGTTATTCTGTGGAATCATACAATAAAAAATCCTATTGCAGATCATTAAATGGTTGAGTTGGATTCAAAAGTACGAGTCAACACCATGTCCAACTTGATGTCCAAATGATTACAGGTCATTGTAATATTGAACTAACATTTTTCTCAAGTCACTGTCTCTCAACCACTCTGCTCACTTGATTACAATCCCAACACTTCAGTCTAACACTAAGAACAGTTAAAAACAACAACAAAAAAATACAACTGTTTTAATGTGAAGTTAATTTGTTCCCTTGATTTTAAGACCCTCACCTAAAAGATGGAACTAACCACGACAACATCCAGCGATCCTTGGAGAAAACTGTGGAGATGGAGACCAAGGAGGAGGGAAGCCAGCTGCAAAGCAAAACCGCCTCCCCCTTCAACGACCTGTATCAGATGATCAAAAAATCTCTGGATGTCAAGACCCCTCGGAAATCATCCGCCAGTCTGCTTCAAACACCAACCTCGAGGTTTTGCACTCCAAAGCCTACTCCTGCCAGGAAAAGTGGTGGAAAACCTGCTTTCTCCACCGAAGACAAGATCACTCCTAAAAAGGATGAAGCTGAAGTCAAGATGGAGACTGAAAAAAGAAGCATTGAGACCCCGAAGTCTGTTAAGAAGCAACGGCGGTCCTCCCAGACTGCACCAGGAGCTGAACCTGTAAATTCTGCCAACTCTGAAACACCTTCACCTCAGAAGAGAATCCGTACACCTCCCCAGAGGTTTACCGCGGGTGAAGTTGTTGAACAAATCTGCGCTGGTTCTCCCAAGTCCCCCACAAGAAGGAAGAGCAAGGAGGCAACACCAGTCAAACCAGCAGGGATAGAAGAAGAAGCAAAGCAAGAGGCGACTTCTCCCAAAGCAGAAGAAAAAAGAAGGGCATCGCCAAGAAACTCTGGGAAAGTTGAAAAGGGTAATACATTTGATCTTGTCTTAAAATTGAGGAGTATTTGTTAAAACAGGTTTTATATATATTAATATTACTGATGTATAATCATTTTCTCAATTTACATTTTAGATAAAGAGATGTCCAAGAAACGCAAAAGTGGAGAACTTGGCAGTGACTTGCCAAAGTCCCAAATGAAGAAGAAAAGGGTTTCCTTTGGAGGTCAATTGAGTCCGGAGTTATTCGACAAACGACTTCCTCCTGACTCTCCATTACGCAAAGGAGCCGCTCCTCGAAGAAGCTTGTCTCTATTAAAGCCTAAATTGTCGCTCCTTAGAAGAGCATCAGTTATTGGATTACTAAAGGTAAGACGTCACACTACGTGAGTCAATGTCCTTGTCTGATTATTATTATATCTCTTGCTCATCGTGTTGCTTGTTTTTTTTATTTTTAGGAACAAGAAAGTCCTGGAAAAAAGAAGACTCCTTCACCCAAGAGGGCCTCAAGTGCCAAGAGCACATCTCCTAAAACTCCTACGCCTACAAAGAAGTCTCCCAAATCAAAGTCCCCATCTCCCAAGGCAGCAACGCCTGCAACAAAGTCTCCAAAATCCAAGTCTCCGTCTACCAACATAATGGAAACTCCAAAGAGCACCAGACTGACCCCTGCAGTGCAGGGGCGCTTCTCTGTGTCACGCGTCGGCACACCTTCTCCACGAGCAGAAGAAGCTGTTACTCCTAAACTACCAGGGGGGAGGAAGAGTATTGTGCGTATGACACCGAAGGTGACGAAGAGTGCTGTAAAAGTAATGGTCAGAAGAAGCGGCATTTCACGGGCATCTATGAAGGGTATGTTGACTCTGACATCTCCTTTACATTCCAAACTATTTCGAAGTTAGTCTTCATAGCTTACAAGCAATGCTTACTGCCTTTCAGCTATTTAATCTACTTTTCAGCCTTATGATATCAGGCATAACTTTCTATATCAGCTACAAATAACTTGCATTATAAACTTTGAAATTGTGAAATGATTGTTCCGTTGACCGGTAAAAGAATTTCTAGAAACAATTACAAATTTTACTCAAATTTTCTCTTCTTTTTTTTCCAGCCAAAAACTCCTGGGCTGACATGGTGAAATTTGGACAACCTAAGACTCAGCTGGCAGCTCCCGTCACAAAAGCAGTCATCAGGAAAACAAAGAAGAAGGCAGCTGTGCCCAAACCACAGGTAAAGTGAGACACAATACAAGTCAAATATTATACCTTTAAATGCAGCCTGTAACTGTTGGAGTAGATGTTGCACTTAAGTACCAGTCTCTAAAAGCAAAGCTTTTCTTTGACCAGACCATCACTGTCCCTCCCCTTCCCTCCTCCACAACCTCAGTGTTCAGTCCATGTGCAGAAGTTTATTTGGTTTTTAACTCCGCCTTTATGCCTCTACATACATTTTCCCTGAGTGTCTACTCTAGTTATAAGATGTATATAAGTAAACAGAAAAAAGTAAAACTACATGATGTCTTTGTTGAACTTACAGACCCCTGCAAGAGCAATCCCTGGCCACTTCAGCACTGGCCACGCTTGTTCCCCTGTTACCATTGTGGTTAGCAGAGCCCAGAAACAGAAGTTGGTACAACCAACTGGTGCTGCACCACGCCTGGTCACCAACATCGCTCTCCTGAAAAAGAACATGAAAATGGACGAGGACTTGACCGGTAATTCAATCGTTTACATTCTAAAAAATAGCAACATGAGTGTTGGTAACATACTTTTGACATCACCGTTAACAGATGCATGCGTTTTGTATTCAGGGGTTTCCGAGATGTTTAAAACTCCTGCAAATGAAAGGAAGACGAGGTCTGTTATTGATGAAAGCAGCACCATGAAGACACCAATGGCAGGTCTGGAAACGCCTTTGGTTGAACCATCTGTGCTCAACACCCCGGAAGAGACAGGTAAACGTTGTCAACCCCTAAGCATACACGCTAAATCTAACATGTTGTTTTTAGACCAAAGAGTGGGGATGTAAGAATAATTTAATAACGCATTTCAAATCAATTAGACAAAATATTTTGCAATACTCTTACTTTCCTGTTTTTTTATCAGTACCACCAACTGCACAACCTCAAAATTAAAAATGGGTCACTGAAAATATAAAGGGGAAAAGGTTAGCTATTTTTATTTTTAGATAATTTGAATAAAATAATGTTTTCATTGACATCACTCGTATTTCTATATTTAAAAAAAAAATAAAGATTATGATAAAACTGTGTCATGAATCCAGCACAGTGGTAGTATTTAATCATACGTTTGGTCTACAGTTCTATCCTAATAAAGAGTCGGTCAAATGTAGCTTGTTGTGTTATTAAATGAGTATAAACGTATGACTTGTTTTACAGGAGAAATGATGGTATCTCCACTCAGTGTTTCCGTCAAAGACAGACAGTACAACAGTGAGGCAGTCCAGCGCTTCCTGGTTGGAGATCAAGAATCGAGCTTTGTTTCAGACGTTCCTGCCTCAGAGACTTCCTCTGAGGATCCCGTTGAACAGCAGTGCACAGATGTAAAGACCGCCTCCGTATCGACTCCTAAACAGAAGCCCGAATTACCAGACTGTCTTACTGGAGTGAAGAGAGTTATGAAGACGCCAAAACAGAAGGCAGAACCTGTAGAAGACCTTAGAGGGAGACTTCTGAAAACTCCCAAACAGAAGCTGGAACAGCAAGAGTGTCTCACTGGAGTGAAGAGGATCATGAGGACCCCGAAACAGAAAGCAGAGCCCATTGAGGACCTGAGAGGGAAAATTCTGAAAACTCCAAAGCAGAAACCTGAGCAACAAGAGTGCCTCAGCGGAGTGAAGAGAATCATGCAGACCCCACAACAGGAGGTGGCACCTCTTGAAGACATCAAGATACAACTTCTGGAGACTCCCAAACAGCAGCCCGAACAGCTTCAGTGTATGACTGAAGTTAAAGACATCATGCAGACCCCACAACAGGAGGTGGAACCTCTTGGAGATGTTAAAGGAAAACTTTTGGAGACTCCCAAAGCTCCAGAGGCCAGGGATGCTGGTATGGAGACACCAGTACACATGCAAGAATCTGAGGCTGTCTCTGAAGTGTCAGAAATGAAAACTCCAAACACGAAGAGCTGCCCACCAGTCTGTCTCACTGGTATTAAGAGAATCATGAAGACGCCCAAGGAGAAGAGTGTACCTGTGGAGGACAACTTTGGTATCCAAACACTCATGAAAACACCCAGACTGAGGGGCAACACACAAGTGGAAGACTTTGAGGGACTTCAGGAGCACATGGAGGAGCCAACGATTCAACCCACTGGACAACAGGAGACAGAGGAGGTAATAATGGAGAGCACTATGATTATTATTTTACTTGTTTTTACTGGAAGAATTAGTTTAGTTTTTAAGATTTTGGAAAGAATTTGGCAGCTAAGTGTCACCAGTGTTGGAAACAAATGGGGACCAGGCCAGACTGAAAAAACTGGACTGTAAATAAAAATACATTTCTTGCATGGAAGGACCTAATTTTACTCTATAGCAAACTTTATTTTTTCACATTCAAATTAAATAAGTATGTACAGCTGAGCACGCTGCAGTTAGACCTATCACTGCTATAATTCTAGTATTAACGTTTGTCCTCTCTTTCTTGATCAACCATCTTTCCTTCTGGCTTTGCATTGTCTGATCAGCCAGAGACTAATAATATAACATTTCATTTTCCCTAACCTTTTACAGAACATAAGTTTCATCTGCATGGTTTACTTTCTTCTCTGAAAAAAAGTTGTCATCTAAATTGTCTTTTGTCTTTTTCTAATATACAGATTGAAGCCCAAAAAGACTCTGACTGTGATGTAGAAGATGCAAAAGGTTAGTGGAAATTAAGGTTCAAAAGTATTATACAATTTTAAAGGAGCAATATGCAACTCGACACGTAGCATTTAAGATGAGTACTGCAGTCCAAATTCAAAAACAGGGCTGTCTCCACCGCCCCCTCATCGCTAGAATCGATGTGCACACGGATTACCATTTCGTAGACACTGAAGCTTCAGTATTTAGCCAGCTCTGCATCACTTTTGAAACCTTTCTGCGTTATAACCACTCTCCATCTTTAAAAGCATCTCCAATATTTTACCTAATTTTACCACATTTTTGCTTATTAGAAACATCAAAAGGCTTTTTAGGTCTGGTAGAATCAGTTGTATCTGAACCAGTTGGCTTGCCTGCTTCCATTGCTGCTGGTTTGCCAAGATAACTGGTCTCATATCTAGCAAACCGAAAGGCATCCCCAAACCAAGAAGCATCAAAAACGGCCATGTGGTGGTGACTTAAACTCTCTGGCCAAAACAAATACATTCAAGACCAGAATCCAAACTTAGCCGGAGATCATACTGGCTGCTGCTTTTTTGTCAGAGAAGCCATCTACTGAATTAAATCATAAAATGACCCTACTTTATCATCAGACATTAAGGAAACATGCTAACATATTGCTCCTTTAATTTAATTTAAGATGGATAATAATAAGATGACTTATGTAAGCTGCACAACAATCATGAGCTGATTTTGGTCTTCTTTCCCTCTCTAACAGAACTGGACTTTGCTCTGGAGGAGCCACAAGACAATGTGCCATCTGTGACTGATGATGTTCCCCAAGTTGATCTGGAAGAAGGTATGTTCTTTATGTTTTAATGCTGAAGTTACAAACACTTTAAATTATTAAGGTACAGCATAGGATATGATATAGGAACGGGAATTCTGCATATCAACTTCTTTAAACTCAAAACTTTTCATTTGTTGTCTGTTAGAAGCTCAAAGGTTTAGGTATATGTCTGTTATCTTTATGACCAAGTTTTATACCTGAACACAAATAACTTACTTCAGAACTCACTTGAAGAATTTTGGCTTTTTTTCCCCTCTGGTGTATGATCCTTGTATAAACCCTTCATTATATATATACTGTTTTCGTTTCCTTTTAGAAGTAGATGTAAAAGAAGCTTTCACTGAAGACCACTTTGAGGAGGTGCCAAGAGATGATCATGAGAAAATATCAGAGGCCATAGAAACTGTGTGTCAAGAAGCTGCTGATGAGATCAAGCTCGAGGAGCAGGATGCAGTCGATGAGAATTTGTCTAAAGAACAACCCCAACTGGAGACAGCAACTGGCAATGTCATGGAAACAGAAACATCAGAAACCGATCCTAAACCCCAAACACCTGTAACAGAGATTGTACCCCAGGTGACCGAAGCAAATTTGACTGTCACAGAAATAGAACCAACCGCCTCAGATCCTGAAGCCCCAACACCTGTCACCGAGACCTTACCAGAGGTGGAGGAAGCAACTTCCAACATCACAGAAATGGAAACAGCCACCTCAGATCCGGACCTTGGGAACAAATCTGTTAGAGGCAGAAAGGCCAAAACAGTGGAAACCAAAGCAGCTGAGGAAAATCAAGAGACAGCAGAACAACCTGAAGAGCTTGCTGTTCCCGCTCCAGTCAGAGGAAGAAGAGGGAAGAAAACTGAAGCTACTGCAGCCCCTGCTGTTAGACAGACAACAAGAGGCAGAAACACAAAGACCACTGAGAGCAAGGATGTTGAGCCCGCGGCAGAGATCAGCGAGTCTCTGCCTTCTGAAGTCGCTGTTAAGCCTAAAAGAAGAAATGCCAAAAAGGCTCCTGAAGATAAAGCTGAAACTGTTGATGAATCTTCCACCATAACTATGCCAGAACCAGAGAGCCAACTGAGTCTCCCAGCAGAGGTTGACCAGGAAGTAAATGTCACTGAAGCTCCTGTGGAGGAGGCTGTGATGAAGCCCAGACGTGGGAGAAGAGCTAAACAACCTGAAGAAGCAGCTCCACAGCAGAAAGATGTTGAAGTTCCCACAGCTGATGTAGCAAATGGTATGTAACATAAATGTTCAATTAAACTAAAACACATCTGCTGAGTGACTAAATCACATGTAAAAATTAGGGAATTACAACAGCTATTCATACACAATCCGGTGTAAAAATAAAGACAAAATGCTGAGACATAAGCTCTTGACTGCAAGTGCAGTTAAAAACTCACCCCACTGATTGTTCTGCATGTAACTGCATTGATGCAAGAAACATGCTGGCATATATATCAAAGCGGAACAAGGCACATCAACTTTTCAGACCATATCAACTATCTAACTCAGTGGTTCGCAAACTTTTTAGACTGCATACCACCTCAGAAAATATTTGGCTCTCCAAGTACCACCATTATGGTAGACGTTAAAATACACTGTAGGCCTATTTCTACACACATTTTACGCAGGAGGCAAATTAATTCATAAAAAGAATATTATTTATTGACTGTTGGCAGCCACACTGTAGGACTGCTAAGGGCTAGCGCTAGAACTGGCACTTAAACTCCACACAGTGCAGAACAATAAAAATGACAACTTTATACCATCAACCTGTTTGAGAATATTTAGTCTCCAGTGTTTCCCACACAAAGATGATACCTGGGCCCAAGTATATTTCTGGCCTGTTCTTATTTAATTTTTCATTTATTCATAAAATTGCTGCGTGCGAGAGAGAGAGAGAGAGAGAGAGTGCAAGCTCCGTGCAACCAGAGCCTCTGTATCATAAGGCTCTGCATTCAACATAGCAAAACTCTCTTTTAAAAAAATCCTTCTCGACTCCTGTGCATAGTTAAGACACAGCAAAATAGAGCAGAATCACATCAGCTTCAGAGCAAGAGAGAGGGTGAGCGACTGTCCGTACACTCTTGTAAATGCATCACAACGGAAGCATCTCCTGGCTCTGTTTTAAAAATGTTAGGCTACAGCTGCTTGCCATCGATTCTGTGCTGAATTCCAATAAATAACAGAATATCTGTTAATGTATTTTGTAAGCATTTTATGCTGAAGGTTTTTTTTTAAATATTGCGGAGATTCCTTTGCGCACCACCACGGGGAGTCCATGTACCATAGTTTGAGAACCACTGATCTAACGACTTCCCTCCCCCATCATGTCATAATCCTGTATTTAAAGAAAATGGTGATACACTGTTAGAAATTGTATACCCTGTGGAGTCGACTGCCAGTTTGATTGCAAAGTGAAAGCAGAGGTGGGTAGCATGGCGACTAGGCAAATTGGTGGCAGGCTGTTGGTTTATACTAATAAACTTTACCTTACGGAGCCTGGTAGCTAGCAAGATTGCGAACTCAATATGTTGAAAACAGATGGTACTAAAAAGAGCTACACAGAAGCTGCACATTGTGAAAGACAGATGAAACCTTGTTTGTGTGTGTACTGGTGAAACTTGTGTTCTAGATTATAAAGTACTTTATTTAACTAATCAGATATTCAGTAGTTGAATGTCAATGTGCATTAATTCCATTTTCCCCATTTGTTTCCCTTAAATTTAAGAAGCAGATACCAGTGAAGTCTGCAGTGAGATGCCTGAGGTGGTGCCAAGCAAAAGTGCTGAAAATGAATCCACAATTCTCGTTGAAGCTGCTCCAGAGGCTCCTGTTTCTGAGAGTTTACCCGTAGTGGAGGCAGAAACTGATGCAGCTACCGTTCAGAAGAAGCCTGTTCGAGGCCGAAGGGCAAAAACAGTGGAATCCAAAGTTGAGGAAAAACAAGAAGCAGAAACAGAACACCAAGAAGAGCCTGCTGTCCCTGCTCCAGTCAGAGGAAGAAGAGGGAAGAAAACTGAAACTGCTGCACCAGCTGCTGTTAAGCAAAAAACAAGAGGCAGAAACACAAAATCTCAGGAAAGCACCTCTGATGAGCAACCTGAAGTGATGCCAGAGAACACTGTGGAATCAACCCAGATAAGCAAGGATTCCTCTGAAGTGTTGACTGAGCAGACTTCTCAAATTAATACCCATCAAGAGGATAAAGATTCTGAACCCCCTGCAGAGGAAGCTGCTGTTAAACCAGTCAGAGGGAGGAAAACTAAACAAACTCCTGTTGAGCAACAAGGGCCAGAGAAACACGAAGTATCTAATGATGAGGAGCCAACAGCAGAGGCTGAACCTCAAAAGTCCATTCCTAGTGTTGTAAAACCCAAAAGAGGGAGGAAGACCAAAGCAGATACAGTTGAACAAAATGAGGAGGCAGAAGAATCAGTCGTCACTGTGGAGACCAAACAGCCAGCTCAACCTGCAGCCCGGGCTAAGAGGGGAAGAAACACCAAGAAGGAAGAAGAAAAGCAAGAGAGCATTGAGACTTCTGAGTCCACAGAGCCCGCTAAAAAAGTTAGAAGAACCAGGAAGGCAGAGCAACATCATGAAGAAGTTGAAACAGCTGTACCAGATGAAGCTCCACTTGTTGAGGAAGAAGTGACGATGCAGGAACAGGAAACAGTTGCTACAAAACCCAAGAGAGGAGGGCGCAAAACCACACAAGATACAAAGAGTGACTCAACCGAGGTCCCTGCTGTCAGCACAACAGACAAACCTAAACGGGGCAGGAGAGTGAAACAAGTATCTGAAGAGGCTGTAGTTGCTGCTGTAGCAGAGGAGGAGGTCGATGCTGAGCCAGAAGCCCAGGCCGATAAACCAAGCCGGGGAAGGCAAACCAAAACTTCAGTGAAAAAAGAGGTTTCAAAAGCCGTTCCACCAAAGAGAGCCAGACGAGGTGCAGCTGCCCCCCTTGAGGAGACCAACACTATGACATCCAGCTTGACAGGTGAGCACCTGACACAGGCATTACAGCACACTCCAGTCGTCTCCTTTAACTCTTAATGTTAAGAAAACGGTTTGCCTGTGCCTTTCATTAGTAATAGGTATGTAAATGATGTATTCGAAGCAATGAATGAAGTCAAGTGCCTGTTATTACCCTGGATAGTCAGGTTAAGTGCATTTGTAAGAGGGTCAACTAGGACGGACTAGTCATGTCAAACTGCAAAACTATACATGCAATGATTTTTGCACATTTTCATATTGCATCATGTCATAGTCACAAGATTCTAGAAACAAGTTTTTTTTTTTTAATGTCTAAGTAATCATGTATGGCCGCTGTTTTCTGAATAAACCATTAGGCGTCTGAGCTCTCATTTGGCAATCTCAGGAGCATCTATCAGTGGTGATTGTCTTATTCCAATTAGTCAGTCTGCTTTCTCTGCATAGGGGTCAAAACTTTGGAACTCTACCTACCAGCTTAAAACAGGAGACCAACAGTCTGTACAGCACATTTAACAGAGACTCAATGGCTCCAATCCTAACAGTGGTCACATGAATAGCTTACAACTGATTTATTGTCTGATGATGTTGCCTTTGTTTTATTGCTTGTATGTAATTCTGAATGTATTGCTTCGCTGTTCTTATTGTCTTATTATTGTACATTTTATTATTTCTGTCTTCTCATTATGACTACTTTTATTTCACTCAAAAGCCTTGTGTGTAACAAGTGATTTTAAAAAAGCATGTGTGCTAAAACACTCGGAACAATGCATCTGATCCGTCCAATGTGACTGTGATATCTTTGTCAAATCTATCTAACATAAAATCCCCTCTGGTTTCAGAGTGTGCAGCTATTTCAGTGGAGCCAACCAAAAGGGGGAGACGAGCAGCAAAGCCCACAGATGATTCCAAGGTGACCTTGGAGCAGGCACCTCCTGAGGAAGAATTGAGTAGCGCTGTTGTAGAAGAGCCCAAAGGCTCCAAAAGATCTGTGAAGTGGAAACCAGACTTGGAGGTCATTGAGATAACAAAAGTAACACCTATTAAAGCAGTGCGGGGTAGGAAACCAAAACTCGCTGACCAAGTTGAGGCAGGAAAGAAAAATATGTCAAAAGATGCCAACAGTGCTGAAGAGAAGGATCTCTCAGATGCAGCAGTCGAAGCTCAGCCCGCCAAGAGAGCCAGACGAGGGGCGAAGGTCGTCAACGTAACCTCGGATGAAGCGGAGTCCACAAGCAAGGAGGAGAGTGTTGAAGCTAAGACTCAGACAAAAACCCGCAGAGGAAGATCAGCAAAGAAATAAAAAGCCTTTGTTTATAGTCTTAATCTTAATGACTTTTTTTTCCATTTTAACATCTTTTTGTACTTGTGAGGTTTTACATTGTGTGGCATTTTATTGAGTAGATTCATAGGCTAAAGATTAAGCACTGCTTTTTTTCTTCTTTTTTTTCATTACCCAGGGAATCTTGTTTTAAACATTTATGTTGTGACAAGTTGTATGTTTTCGTTTCTTCAATGCGTTACAGATATGTTTATGGTTAAAAAATGGTTATTAAATTTTTTGTACTATGGAAAACGTTGTCTGACTTTTTTTTTTTTTTTACTGTTCAAAAATTATCTTGTTTTCTGTGCAGCCTTTGTGGGAAATACCCAGCCCTAGTTCACAGCAAGTTAAACACCATTTACTATTAGAAGTAGGCAAATTATTTAGGCAGGCAAGTGTATACATGGAAAATGGTTTCTGAGACTAAGTCTTGAGGTTAGGCGTTAAAGCTCTATCTGCACAGAAACAAACAAACTCATGAACACGTGAAGATTCCAGTCAGCTAGCATTACATAATGGTCGGTTTCACATTAAGCACTAAGACATTTTTATCTTTCGAGAAAGTGTTTTTATTTGACACCTCACAATTAAGACGTTAATTTCATTGTGGGGGAGGTTTGGAAAAACCTGGGTTACATTATATTGTTGAGGAGAACAATGGTACCAGGGACAAATGAGTTTTGAAGTCTGTTAGTCCTGCATCTAAGCACTATATCTGCGACCAGATGGCAGCAGCTTGTACTCGGTGTGAAGGGGGTGGTGCAGTCCCTAAGGATAGCCTGTGCTCTTTCTGTTGCTCTGACTCTGTATAAGAGGGAGAGATCATCAAAACTAGAGCCAGCAATTTTACTGCACATTCTCACGGTTTGCTCGACCCAAACCAACAAATAAAAGAGAAGGTTAAAACAGGAATAAAACATTCTCATAAAAACACGATCAACATTAAAATTCCTCAGTTTTCGATAAAATTAAAACTAATTAAAGCGCTGTAGATATGACCACATAATAAGGGATACATGTGTTTGACTAAATAGTATCAGGCCAGATAAACGTCCCCACTATTTTCGACCTTTATCGATAAAATAAAATTGGTTCCAACGGAACGTTTAGATAGTCGGACAACCCGGACACATTTTCGAGTCGTACCAGAAACTAACGCAAGCTGGACGTTGGAGGGAGATTTGAGGGGCGCGTGTGAAACCGACGACTTTGCAGTTTGATTAATATTTTTTGATTAAATTGACCTCTGGCATCATGGAAACAGACAAAGACATAAAGTGTAAACCGAGAGGTTTCCATTGCACTTTGTGTAACGTCCACATACCAAACAGTGAGTATCGATAGCTAACAGTTAGCTGCACGTCAGGCATGTACACTTCATGTACCCCTTGTATGCAGGGGTGCAGCAGTGATTTTAAAAGTGTGGGTGTTGTAATGTTAGTATATTACCACCCTCTAGCAAATCAACACATTCTGTTTCAATTAATGTCCAATAACTAATGTTAGCTGACACATCATACAACAAGACAAAGTTACAAAAGATAATTAGACACTAACTTTATGAACATCCATTGTGAGTAACCCAGTTAGCTCTAAAAACCAGATTCAAAACTGCTCTTTATGATGCTTTTACTTTGCTTTTCGTATTGCCTTATGCCTCAGTCTCTTTATTTCCGGTCTTCAAATATAATGTGCTTTTATTTTGAAAAACTGCATAAGGGACGTCCGCTACATCGTAAAGTTACAGGAGTCAATAAATACAGCTAAAAGAACAACCAAGAGGAGAAAATGGCCAATATTTTAGAAACAACATGGGTACATCTAAATAAATTGTTTGTTTGTTTTTAGAGCTGAGCTGAGCAGTCAGTGGGCAGACAATGTAAATAATTTGAAACATGATATGAAACGTGAACAGTTAGAAAGAAGCTTTCTGACTATTGTTGCATTCATCTTTGCAAAATGGAGAATTTCTGTTACACTAACAGTTTCCCCCATAATAAGTATTTGTATCAGTATCAACATAGAAACACTCCATACCGTGTGTTTTACTCAATGGCATTCCTTCATTTGAGTTTTTCTAATGCAAAGATGTTCATGTTTTTACTGCAGTGCCAAGCTTGGATCAACATCTTAAAGGAAAGAGACACAATATGATTAGCAGTGCGCGAAGTACAAGGAAGACTCAGGGGGAGTGCAGTGTGTATGTCAGTGGCATCAAGCCTGAAATCTCTCAGACTGACATAGCTGCATACTTTGAGCAGTTTGGGCCACTCTCAGATATCATCATGGATAAAGACAACGTGAGTAAGCCCTCATAACAAGAGTTAAAGAAAATGTCAAAGAGCTCTAATTTAAAGTTGGATCACTACACGGTCTCAGCATATATAATGTGACTTTTTAATTCATTGCAGTCTTGAATGTGATCTGTCCGTCTGCACTCACAGGGTTTTTTTGCCATCGTGCAGTTCAGTGAGGCTAACAGCGTCGAGGCGACTCTGTCCTGTGTTGAGCATCAGTTGAAAGGTTTGAAGCTGCGGGTCAAACCTCGGGAAAAGAAGGATTTCAAGTTGACGCCGGACAAGAAGACAAATGACCCCCAACACATTTTTGACCGTCTAAAACCTAACCTGTGTCAGCAGGCGTCCGTAAGTTCCCTGTTGTCAAGTTAAAGCTATTTTATGCTGAGGAAATGTTTGTAATAATAATAACTTTATTTATATTGCACCTTTTAAAAACACAGGTTTACAAAGTACTTTGACAAACAGCAAAAACAAGAACAAACTAAACCAAACACAGAACAACATAAACAACAGCAAGAACATAACAAATGCAAAATACTAAAAATAAATAATACAATTCAACAGAAAAGAACCCATAGTGCATGATCCACAACAGACATATATAACCCGACCATCACAAGAACCATCACAAGAACCATCATAAGAACCATCACAAGAACCATCATAAGAACCCAGGCAACACAAGAACCATCATAAGAACCCAGGAAACACAAGAACCATCATAAGAACCCAGGCAGAACAGTTTGTTTGTAGGGAAAATACTCATAATTTTAAGGAGTGTTAAAGCCTCAAGGATATGTAGTGGAGCCTTGAGTTTCCGTTTAGTTCCATAATACAATATTGTATATGTTATTGAAATTGTTGTAAAAAGAAGGATACTTTTATCTGATACAAACAGGAAATGTCAAAAACACTGTAAAATCAGTTTGTACTTTGACTTCAGTTTTATTTATTAATTGATAAGCTTATAATGTGTGTTTTCTATGTGACTCTTCATCAAAGAGACTTACATGTTGTCCTCCTCCAGGTGGATGCACAGATGCAGCACGTTGTGCAGCAATTTCAGCTGGGAGAAAATGAAAAGAAGGCTCGAGGCCTGGTGGTACAACTCCTGCAGGAGGTTTTCATAGAGTTCTTTCCAGGTGGCCTTTATAAAAACAAACATTCAAAGAATGAGTTTGTTGAAAATTGTCCAACAGAATGATAATTGTGTTAATATTTTTTATGCTCTGGATTTGTTTGCAGACAGCCAGATTCTGCCATTTGGTTCATCTGTGAATACTTTCGGCATCCACAACTGTGACCTGGACCTGTTGCTGGACATTGAAAACACCAAAGTGTTCCAGGCCCGTGCCAAGTCCACCACAGAACAAGTATAACGTGTTTTTTTAAATTTATTATTAATAAAAAGTAATCGGTGCCTTGTTGTCATCTAAAATGATTCAGATCCACACAACTTAGAACCAATTATCAAGTAGTGTAACATAAAGTGAGGCTACTGTATGAGCTCATCCGTCTCTTGTTGTCCATTTCTTTGTTTAGGCAGGGGAGGGCATGTCAGACGACGGCCACTCCGAGGACTCCATCCTCTCTGATATCGACCTCTCCTCTGCGTCTGCCGCAGAGGTCCTGGATCTTGTGGCTGCGATCCTAAAACGCTGCGTCCCCAGTGTTTACAAAGTCCATGTGGTCAGGAGCGCTCGTCTCCCTGTGGTCAAGTTCCATCACCGCAAGCTGAACCTGCAGGGAGACATCTCGGTCAACAACAGGTGGGTTGAAGGGTTCTTCTTGATTCAGTGCAGCATCAGATGTGGTGATAAACGTTTGTTTTTTCTCGTAAGGTAAACTTATTAAAGCATTGTTTCATGTATGTTGAACTCTAGACTGGCAGTAAGGAACACCTGCTTCCTCCAGCTGTGCACAGGGACGGAGGACAGGCTGAGGCCTCTAATGTACACCATCAGATACTGGGCCAAGCAGAAGTGGCTGGCCGGTAAGATCAAATAACCTGCACCTTACTGAACAGTACATAGGACTAACTGAAACAAACCTTAGTGTGTTGTGTGCATTAAGGCAGTCATTTCATTTGTTGGTCTGCAGAGGTCAGTAGAACTCCACTGTCTGCTTGTAATCATGTCAGGATGTTTCTGCTTTTTGTTGCCTGGTTATGAAAAGATGATGTTCCCAAATACAGATGACACTAGTAGAGCTTTGTTTGGTTGAATCCAGACTGATTGCTAATACAGATTCAAATAAGAGTGCTGTATGCTAAATAGCCCACTAATTAGTTTGTGACCTTTGAACATTAGCCTCCATGCTGCCAGCAAAGCTTTCATTAGAGCACTGAGTGAGTAGAAATACATGATATGATTGGTTTTAAGTAAAGCTGCTCTGCTGTGTTGATCCATATTCAAGATCAAATGTAAAAATGTTTTTACGTATGTGTCAGAGTGGCAAGGTGGAGAAAAAACCCAACACTTATCCTGTTAAAGAATGAAGCTGTCCAATTCAAGTAAATGATCTGATCTTAGACTCTGTTGGCTGTATTCCAGTTTACAATCCATCCCTGGATTCTGTAATTTGTCAAATTAATCTACTACTGCAAGCCATTCTTCCATCACTCAGGCTACAGGACACAATATCCAAAACAGTGCGGAAGTTAACTTTTATCAGTTGGACCATATTTGAACCTTAAGCTTACCAACTCTGAAGTATAAGCAGACTGAACGTAATGCTTTGCCTGACTGATCTAGAGTCAGTTTCCTGGATCATTTGATGGACATTAAAGGCTTTCTATGTGATTTTTTGATCCAGCAGATGTCGCCCTTGAGCACCAGCATGAAACCAAAACAACTTGCGCTGCATTGTTGTGTTAGCATGCTAATGCTAGTGATCTTTATTATGCTCGTATCTTCACACTGCATGTAAATTTACCTGAAATGAGCGTGATCTAGAAACACAGTTAAGCAGTGAGCACAGTATGTTATTCTTCTTTTCTCTAGTCCCTCAATTAAACAACTTTTATACACGAGGGGAGGAGTCAGCCGGCCGTCCTGGCGATGTAAACAAAGTGAAGATAGGACTCTGAAAACTCTGAAAACATCACAGACAGTGGGACTCGGGTGTTACACCCATTGTAGACAGTCATGACTCATAGAGTTATTTTCAGAGGATATACTTGATTTCTATTACATTTAAGTGTGAAAAGTCACATATAAAGCCTTTAACGTCACAGTGATACCATTCAGGTTTCAAATGAGCACTGTGCAATTTTAAAATTGAGTGGAATACACCTGCAACTAGAATAGTTAAAAAAAATAAGGTACTTATAGGGGCATTAGCTGTTTCAGTACATCCTGAATATATTAATAATATAAATACAGCAGTTATTTATAACAATGCTTCACACTGAAAGATTCACCTTAACATCTGTAACACAGCTAGTGTTAATCTATCCACTGGCATTGAACCTTGCTTTAAAGAAAATGAACCTTCAGGTGGCTGAGAGTATAGGGCACGCACCCCATGTATAGAGGCTGTAGTCCTCGAAGTGGACGGCCCGGGTTCGAATCTGACTCGTGGCTCCTCTCTCTCTCTCTCTCTGTCTCTGTCTCTCTCTCTCTCTCTCTCTCTCTCTCTCTCTCTCTCTCTCTCTGCCTCTCTCTCCCCCCCCCCCCTCTCCCTGGTTTCTGACGCTATCCACCGTCCTAAAATGCACCAAAATAAATCTTAAAAGCAACAGACACTCCACTATGTACTTAATAAAGACATTTTGTGTTGTCCTGTCAACTATTAAAAGCTTGTTTGGTTTTTGCGTTGTGATGTGCAGGTAATCCTGGCGGTGCTGGTCCCCGTCTCAATAACTACGCTCTGACACTGCTGGTCATCTTCTACCTGCAAAACTGTGAGCCTGCTGTCCTCCCCACTGTGGACCAGCTCAAAGACATGGCCTGTACGTGCTCCCACACTCACACACCCTCTCACAGTGTGTAGTATCACTTTTTTATTTTGAGAGGTTGGAATTAATTCATCACTGGAAATAATTTAGATGGTGCTTATGATGCAAACGGCAAGTTAGAACTGTTGCAGCAATTTTATAAATGCTATTAATTTATTGAGTGTTTTTTTTTTTAATAGAGACTATAATGTAGCATGTAAACTGAAATGTACGATTTTTTGACTTAGCTTTTTTGCAATGCTTTGCCCTTAGTCTAAGCTTAATTAAGCATTACGTGTTACCTCTCTGCAGGTGAGGAGGAAGAGTGTATGATTGAGGGATGGAACTGCACCTTCCCTAGTCAGCCTATTGCTGTGCCCCCCAGCAAAAACACACAGGACCTCTGTAAGTGACCTCACAGTGATTTCCTGTGACATGACCCTAGCTTCTAAATATGACTTCATCTAAACTGTTCTACAACACAAACCTCTACAGACCTTATTTCCCACTCTTAATCTTCATGTGTTGTTGTTTGTTATCCAGGCTCTCTACTGGCTGGTTTCTTCTCCTTCTATGCTAAGTTTGATTTTGCCAGTAGCATCATATCTGTCAGGGAGGGGCGTGCACTCCCAATCACAGATTTCCTCAGCCAGAATAAAGAGGAGGAGGTGATGCAAGAGGAACAACCCCCCAAGACTCAACATCACAGTCCTAAACTGGGACCCCTAAATCTCTTAGACCCCTTTGAACTCACCCACAACGTGGCTGGAAACCTGAATCAACGCTCCCAGCGCAACTTCCAGAGGGAATGCCAGGAGGCAGACAAGTACTGCCACTGCCTTCAGTACCAGCACAAATCCACCAAGGGCAAGCCCTGGGGTCTGGTGCGTTTATTCACCCCCCATGGGAATGTCCCTCATTCCAAGACGCATCAGCCGACCATCAGCATCCCCTTCAATTCAGTGTCTCTCCCTGAAGAGCTTCGCAGTCAGCTGCACATGGCAGGAGACGGTTTCCAGCTGCTATGGTTTCAGAAGGTTTGCTCTGCGGTGGAGGAAGTCTTTCAAACTGTTCTCAAATGTCACCTCACTCGCACAGACTCTGTGCATGGCGAGGATTCAGCTGTTGTTGGTGCTGCTGAGGAAATGGAAACTTCCACAGCTTCCCTGAACACATCGATAAACAGCTGTGACAGCACAGAGTCATCTGTGAGTACGTCTATGGCCGGTGTCAAGAGGTCGCTGTCCTCTGACAGTGACCCTTCTGTGTCACCTCAAGGCAAAAAACTACGACTGGGGAAGAGGGGCAGGCCTGAGCTCCCCCCCTGGACCTGTGTGTTGAAGCACATAGTGTGGCTCGGCAGGAGGAAGGTGAGATGGGAGCTGAACAAGGACACAGAGACGAGGCCTGAGGGCAGCTGCTTGCAGGTGGAGTCACAGGTCACAGCTCACATCATTGAAAAAGAGCCCGAGCTCAAGGAGGCCCTGGAGTTCAAGATTCAGCCACAGGTGGTGGGCGGGACAGAGAGCACAAAGGCTGTGCTTAAGTTTGAGCCTACAAGTGACAAGACGGGAGTTTTTCAGGACTTCTTTCACTTCCTGGAAGCTTTCTTACCAAAGATGGTAGAGACACTGCTGGAGATACAAACAGGCAGTGCTTAAAGATGGACATATTTTAGATATGTCTCCTTACAAATCCAAATACATTTAGGTTATCTTTGTTTTGTATTAAAATTATTACTATTTGTTTTAAATAACATGAAGTAACATTTTTCTTTAATACCAGGCACTGTATATTTATAAATATAGGCTTTTTCAGTCCATACAGTTTGTAATAATTCATGTGTACTGTATATTTTTGTTTGACTTTGTTTCATATATGTTGTTCCTTTAATAGCCTCCTGATCTGTTTGAGAAGCTGCCTGGGTTTAATACTTTCTGTTAAAAAAATAAAAAAAAGGCTCCACTTTATTGAATCTCTAAATGGAAATTCGGTGGCAGATATGTCATCAGCCAAAGAATAAAAATATTCTTTTACAACACCGCCTGAGCCAGAAGTTATTGTAAGCAAGTCCATGTATGTACATTTATTGAGCCTTTGAATCATAGTTTTGTCTTCTGATCGTGTTGAATCACTTTTCTCAAAAACAATCAGAAGTGGAACATTTTCTCTGGCATGTTGTCGGTGCCTTGTTGAAACTTGTTGCTGCCCCGAAAGGAGCCATTGAGTGGCGCTTTTATTCAGTTGTGTTCTCTCTCATCTGACTGAGACAGATGAGAGTAATTACTGAGGCAGGCAGACTGCTTTATTACAGCAGGACGAGCAGGAGCTGAGGGATGCACTGAGCTCTGTGTGCTGATTAACATCATTCATCTCAGCTTTAATAGGAAAAACAGACGGACAACAGGTTAAGAGGGGCTGTGGAGGACTACGTTTGCATTAATGTAAGGATGCATATTGTAGATATGGGAACTTGTGATTAAGGAGCATTAATGACCTTAAGACTCAATATGTGTCTGGTCCTACATCACAATGTACAATCAGTGTACAGTGTATATCAGGAAAATGGCCAACACAAGACCAAATAAATAAAAAAATAGCCACTGTGGTCAAACTTTTTTTTTTTTAAGCGAAGATACTTTTTAGTTGGCCATTATTCATCGAGCAAACAATGCATTATGACTTAACTTGAGTAGAACAACAGTCAAAAAAAAAGGCTTTCTTATTAAAATATGAAATTCTTCGATGGATATTGTACAACACTCAAGTTCATCAGTGAAGATGTTTTCAAAGTGGGGTCCAGGGAACCCCATGTATTATAGACAGTGTTCTCCATTGATTTATTTGCACTCTAATTCATTCACTTATTCTAATGGGTTCTTTGTTGTCACTGAGATCTTCTGTCTGCCCCCGGTTAAAGATGTGTCAGAGGTCAGAGCAGAATGACAATGTAAGCACCATGCCAGCTTGTATAGGGATTGATTTTTACTCCAATGTAAGATCCAAACAGTGAATTGAATCATCTCGGACACATCTGATCACATTCTGAATACATGCATTTACACAGGTGTGATTTTCCTTATTCAGATATGGTCAGTTACAGATGACGTTAAAATAATGGGTGTAAATGGGGTAAAAGAATATTTGAGTTAGTATGACGTGTTTTACAGATCACAGTTACCAGAGGATGAATTAAAATGGCTGGCCAGCCCTGATCCTTACTCATGCGCCCCTATGTGCTTAACCTTTATGGATAGTGATATCAAATGAGGTACATACATTCACAACCTCTAACAATGGATTACAAAAGCTAATAGATTGTAACTTTGCTTGAATCAGCAGCATACAGACAACATTTCACTTTGTTGTTCCATTTGAAAGCTGCAAAACGTAAGACAATATCATCAGCCTGTTTCATGGATGATTAACATCAGCCTCAAATTTTAAACTCAGCATATCACTTCACAACAGCCATTAACTTTCCCTGACACTCCAGGCTACTCCAATATCCCCATCCATTGTTTTTCAAAGGGGTTGCTGATATATGGCCTCACACACACACACACACACACACACACACACACACACACACACACACACACAGCTCTAAAGCCAGAGCATCAGAGTGATTGATATCAAAACTTGGGTGGCTGTTTGTTGTCAGGCTAAAAGAAGAAAACACAACACATGACCATTTATTATTTTAAGATTCAAACAGGCTATTTGCCGGCATCAACAAAAAGCAATCTGTTGTGAAATCTTGGTGAAGATGGTCACAACATATGAAGCCCTGGACTCCAATGAGAAATGGTGTCATCAGATATTGATGACCAAACAGTTCAGTTACATGCAGCCCGTTTGCTTTAATTACGATAAGAATTGATTATGTCGGGCCTTTGTGTTTGTGCACTGCATCTATTGGATCATTGAGTCTATTCTTCATTTAGACTTACCCTGAAATTATAGGGGAAAAAAAGCCAGTTTCATGTTCTGTGTAATTGGCGTCTATTGGGAGGAGATCCTGAGTCAACCTCCATGAGACCTGAAATCCCTGAAGCCTGTGAGCAAAGTCAGCTGCTATCTCTGTCACTGTGACGCATGAACACATCGAGTCACCTCAAGTATGTCATAAAGTGGTGCTGAAAGCTTACGTCATTTCTAGTCATCCATCACCTCTGTAAAATTTGGTATAAAGAATCTGGACGGTGAGTAAGGCATTGACCTCATCTTGCCATCACAGATTTTAAAGGACTTCTTTTGATGCTGAACGTAACGTGCTGGTTGTGAGCATTTTAAGTTTGTGAAGGGGGAATTGAAAGAGCAACATAATGTGTCTGTCACAATAAATAATGCCTTAAATAGGCTGTGGAAAGTGTATGAAACAAATAAAATGACAGAAGTGGAAGCTAATGTTAACAGGATCTCAAAGGTCAAACTATCAACAAAAACCAACAATTATTAGAAAATAAAAACTGTTAAACTTTCAAATAAACATTTCCTGGCTCCCTGAAACAGGAGAAATAATGACAGAGAAAGTGGCAGATTTATTAGAGTTTCCATTTAGTTTTATTGAAATACTGTTACTGAGTTTAGCAGGCTACACAGGGGATATTGAGAAGTTGTGACGTTCTCTACATCATTCCCTTGAACCTTTCCTGAGCTCCTGTCGCATGTCTCACCATCCATCAGAGTTACCTGATGCTGCTACCACAAGCTCACTCATAAACACATCACAGTGTAGGATAAAACTATAAATGGTCAAAATGATGCCATGTCAGCGGTGAGACTTTGTCCTTCAGGGAAGAAAGACATTTGCAAGAGGTATCCCTGATTGGGAAACCAAATGTGATGCCTTGAAGTTAAAAAAAATATATATTTTTATTATTATTTATGTTTAAATATTGTCACTTACAATAAAAGAAAAACAAGATGTTGTGGTTTTAACAACAGCCCTCCTACAGGAGAGGAGAATCATATACAGTATATCATATACATAATTCCTTTTACAATAAATTTCAAAAGAAGGGATGAAAACAGCAGACAAAAGGGGCAAACAAAGATTGAATCATCTCTCTCCCCTGGATTACCACAACACAGAAAGTATACAAATAAGTAAAGAATAATGGCAAGGAAAATAATTCCCCCAATATATCCCACCCCAACCTCCCTCTCTGCCCCCCAGCCCTCCCTCCCCACCCAGCCCTCCCTCCCTTCCTCCCTACCCACCCCAAGGACCCCACAGATAGACCAAGCATAACAAGCTAAAGCACAACATATAAATCATAACAAATATTTTAAAGTTTGAATGGTGTCTGTCCAACATGTCAACAAATATTCTGTGTTTGATTGAGTGTGTATGCCCTTCAAAAATTGGACATTTTTCCATTCAAGTAATTTGATTGGACAAGAGGCATTCCATTAGTGCTGATGATATACAGTACACCAGCACTGGGTCTTTTACATTTAAAAATTAATAATACGATTAAAAAAAAACTGTTTACCCTATATGCCTCTTGTAGATTTGTTTTCTATCCATCCATTATCTATACCGCTCTTCTTGTTCGGGCTGTCTTTGGGCGAGATTGATTTGTTGTATAAAACCAATATCAAACTCGAGGTTGTGAAGTTATACGGAATCTCAGCACGGCTGCTCTTATATTCAGTACAACATTACTCCCTCCTGCATAGCATTTCTTAAATATGCTACTGTTTTCTAAAAAGTCCTGTACAGTGCTTCTGACTGGCAGCAGAGCCTTACTAAGCCGTTAACATGCTCATGAATTACCACACTACGGTAGTAGGTAGCTAATCCACCATTTTGCCTTCTGATCTGTGCAAACAGACCTGTCTGCCTGGAAAGCACTCTGCTCATATTAGTGACTCCCCCACTCTGGAGATAAGGCTAAATAAAAACGCATCATCATTTCCCCCCTTCTGTCCTTGATGGCAGGAAGGAGTCAGACATCCTCTTGGGAGATTGCTCTTACAGCGGAGTAGAGTTTTTGTAATCGTGTGTGTAATCTTCCTTTCATATTTGGACGAGACAGCATGTGTCATGCAAATGGAAAAGGTGCTGGTTTTACTTTCTAAAGTGAAGGCAGGTTCAGGAAAAGGCTTTTAGAGCTCCATTGGAGGACAGGTAGAAGCATATTGTAAGTAGATTTCCCACATCATGATTTGTTCAAGTTAGCACTCGATGCAAAAAAAATCAGGTAATTTTTCTGCCTCACCGAACAAAAGTGACAGACGAGCAGATTAAGGAAAAGTTGGTCAAATGCAACGAGATAAGAGAAAAAGTTTTGAAAGCCAGTAGCGTCCTACTGGTCTTATTATCTTTAAACTTAATGGCAACTCAAACACTTCTCCCCTCTGCAGGAGCCCAAACTGCTCTTCAGGAGTGCATTAGCTGGGTTTTAATGGACTGTGAAAACCTCAGATGTCTGCCCTTTACCTTATCTGAGGGCTGTTACATTCTCAGTGTTTGCCTTCAAAACACCGGCGATGGCTAATGACTTTTCTTGTGTATATTGTTGTTTCTTGTCATTGACTTTTATGGCCAGTAGAGTGAAGGAAGATCGGCTGATTACTGAGGCAGAATGAACTAAATGTTCAGGATAGCCACCGTAAGCTGTGATTACATCGGCGAGGACACATAGAACTAACACTAGAATGTCAGATGATTAACCCATTATTTAACCACTTTAAGCCAGTTCCCACTTTATTCAAACTCATCAAATTGTTAAACGCCATTATTGTCCCATTGTTGTTCTATTTTACAATTCACTAATTGTCCCTTAATACCAGTCTGAATTATGGTAAAATAATTGCTCAGAAATGGTCAGTAATATGTCAATCTGCTCTGAGCCTTTATCACACACACTTTTAACGGCCTGTTTATTGTCAACAGCTTCTGCAGGTCTGTGGAGGCTGTCAGCGGAGATTTATGCCCAAATCAAGATGTGTTTTTGACAAGGGCTTAGGGACTGACAAAGGAAAAACCATTGTTTTTTACAACACTATAAACAGCATTTGGGACGATGA